AAACCAGTCACATCTCCCAGAGTAGCTGAAGGTGGCAGTTTTCTACAATGACACTGCAATTTCATATTAAAAAACAGAAACAACCCCTCCCCCCAAGACCCTCAAGCTGCAAATTAAAATTGGTCCTATGAGAAACTCAAACCAGACACACTCCAGCTGGTTACGCCGGGCTAACTAACGGCCAAAGTGGCAGCCTTGCACAACTCAACTACAGAACAGGAGCTGGCAAAAAAAAAAAAAAAAAAAAAAGTGCCTGAGCTATTGCAATGATGGAATGTTTGGGGAGTCCCTGGGATGATGGTTTAAGGTCATGGGAGGAAGTGCATCTGTACCCTTTCGTAGTTTTGTGATTGCACTTGTTAAGCAGTACAAGCTTCAGACATCATCAAGAAAAAATAAGAAACTTAAACCTACAGTGAAGTGCAATGACAAAACTAATGTGACATTAATAGCTTTTGAGTGGCAATTTGGTTAAACAAACCAGGCACTATAAAAATGGGTGTAAGCAAACACGTGGATTTAAAAAACAAAAACAAAGAGCGGGACAGAAGTGAAGATATGCATGCACTTTTTTCCTCCCAACCGTGCTCTGTGAAAGGAAGACTAGTGAGCTGTGACTTGCTCAAAGTGCTAAAGAGGCATTGATCAAATTAGATTGTACAATCAGCACCTTGTTTAGTATCTCAGTTGGTTTAGTTGTCAATATCACACTAATTGCTAAGACGAAGCAGAGCCTACACTTGGCATGTTCCCCTCCCAAGTTTCAAGGTATCACATGCATATCCTCCTCGTGGTGGTACCAGACGGGCTCAGTTACCTACAGTGGTTACAGAGATGAACAAGGGGGAACTGGAGTTATGACAGTGGGAAATGGGTAAATAAAAAACATAAACTACCATCTATAGTCTGGTAGGACTGAGCACAAGCAGGTGGTGGTGCAGACAGCTGCTAGGTGGATGGGGAGAGGCTGCTCAGACATCAGACCTCCTCAGGTATAAAGCCAGTTCAAATGCTTTCTTGTTGAGTGTCCCTCCATGGACACCTTCCTTTCCCATGACTATAACCAGTACTGGAGTACACAAGGAAACAAAACAGAAATGAACAGAATTAAAGGAAAACAAAAAAACAAAAAACACCTTTCCCCACCAACAAAGGGATACAAAGGAGACACAGGTTCATACCCCATCACCCTGCATTGCTAGTAAAGTTTCCAGAATGTAAGGTTTAAAGCTCACCGCCAGGAAAGTTTAATAGCAATCTTCCCCTAATACTTAACAGTCTGCCTAACAACTAGAACCCAGAGTCTCTCAAGTATTTTGCCATTGAGTATGCCTTCTTATTCAATCCGCCTCCATGGACCCCTTCTTTGCCCATTACAAAGACCAAGACTGAAAGAGAAAAGAAAAAAGTTTTAAAACGAGTGTGTTAGACAAGGAAATAATGCATGTTTTAGGCAGTGCAATAAACACCCTCAAATTCAAGATTTAGTATTTGGGTACTAACCTAGTTTAACAGTTTTGTAAAAACACAAACACAGACAGAGCTGGGAGAAGGTACAAGCTATCCTCAGGGATTTTATGTAACTATGGAACTTTTAAGAGTTCACTGCTAAAATAAATGCCCCCAGTTATCTCCAAAAAGCATCACAGTGCCTTTCACCATCAGTCATATCACCCAGCAAGGAAATCCCTGGGTGGGGCAGAGGTGAGGTGTGTGCACAGTGTGACTACAGAGCAGCAGAGGAACATTCCCCTCTTCTGGGCTGTAGTGGTCACTGCTGGTGTAGGGGCCAGAGTAACTGCCCTGATGTTGGGGGAAAACCCACAGGGTGAGCTGGGCTAAGACCTTCCATGCAGTAACAAAACTACAAATCATGCTTTCTGCGTAGGACAAAATGCAGGGATGACTGTCATGCTGGGTCTCTCCCCACTCCCCCCATGCCAGCAAGGTGTCCAGATTGTATGGCAAAGGAATACCCAGAGGTTCCTCTCCCATAAGTGTGACTGGAAGCTGCCAGCAGATGTCCCCAGCAGGGACAGGGACACAATGAACTCTGGGCTGCCACAGGCCAGGGACTGTTAGCCAAGGTGGCAATACTGCAGCCTACCTAGAGGTGATCATACATCAGCCTCAAGTTGCACTAGGGGAGGTTTAGGGTGGATATTAGGGAACCTTTCTTCACCAAAAGAGGTGTCAAGCCCTGGCACAGGCTGCATGCCTGCTGCCATGTGGATGTGGCACTCGGGGACATGAGTTAGTGGTGCCCTTGGCAGTGCTGGGGGAACGGCTGGAATGGAAGATCTTGGAGGGCTTTTACAATCTAAATGACACTATAATTCTATTTCCATACCAATTTGCTCATAAAAGCTTAAGACAGTTCTCACTGGCATTTCACAAGTCAGAACTATGTTTGTTTCACTCCAGCACTGCCAACCCTCTTCCTGCATCCCTGCCCCAGGCTTTACCCTACACACACCATCAGCTCTGCTTTTGGATTGACACCTATAAGCAAAAGTCTATCACTTACAAACTTGTTCCACAGCCAGCCTGAAACCACCAGCCCAGGTGTCCCTAACATAAGGCACACCAGTCATAGCCAGTATTTTATCCCAGCTGAGTGCCTGCCCCACAACAGCTTTTACTGGACGTTAAATGAGCAGCACGAGAAGCACATTTCTTAGTGGCACCAAACTGGACAGGCTTTTCTGCCTGAAGACAGACTTCAGCACGCTCAATAGGAAGTGCAAGAAGAGTTAGTGTAGAGCTTGTTAAAAGTCAAGTAGGAGCAGCTCATATAAGGGATTCGCATTTTTGCAAAATAAAATTTCCGTTGAGCAGTTCACAATGAGAAAGCTGCAGTCACTGCCCATCATTAACAGACCCCTCCTGAGCTTCAAGTACCAACTGAGAGAATATCAGGAAAATCTACTTGGAGCTGCAGCCTGCTCTTTTTCCTGCTCGCCAGGGATCTGTTTAACCATTGCACTGCCTGCTGCTGGGCTAGGACACAGATGGGCATGGGGACAAGTGTGATTCCCAGGTAGAACTCAGCCAGAACACTACCACCCACCCCCTTGCACCACTTCCCAAAACTAACCATTAAATACAGGTGTCTGGTGTTCTTAATAGCTGGAGTCTATGCTTAGGCTTAGATTCTTAATTTAGCAATGAGAAAATGATACTTACCTCGTCCAGCTCTGCCTACAGCAACATTGTATGTTGGCTCACCACCTTGACTCTTTGTCCTGATGTCCATTGTGCAGTCACCATCGACATACAGGCTATCTCTGATCACAGAGCACTTCTTTGCACCAAGGGTCAGACCATTGGTGAAGAAACCCTCTCGGTCTTTTCCTACAATCATATCTATTTCTCCTGGCTGTCAAAGGAAAGAGCTCAGAGTTAGCACGGCAGCGTTTTATTGTTTAATTTTTATTTAGAAATGCTGCTGTCTCGTGTGAAGAGGCTGAGGCCGTGATTTTCCCCCGCTCCCCGCAGGAAGTGCTCCAGCACACAGGGCTTTGTTAGGCACCGGCGCTGTGCGCGGGGGAGCCGCTGCAGCGGCGATCCCGGGCCCGGCCCGTTAAACGGGGTAGAGCGAATGTCGGTGCCTTGACCCCGGAGCCGGCGTGGGCTCCGTCCGCACCTGTCCCGGGAGATCAGTTCGGGGCCCGCCCGCACCCGCGGCATCAGCCCGGCGTGGCCGGACCGCGGGGCCCGGGCCGCTCCCGCCACCGCGGCCCCTCCGCCTCCCCCTCGGGAGGGGCCCGGGCCCGGGCGGATCGGGGTGGGGGGGCGCGGGCCCGGCCGCGCCGCGGCGGCCGCAAAGTGCAGCGTCACGGCGGGCCCGGCCCCCCGACCGCGGCCCAGGCGGCCCCGCTCCGCCCCGGCCAGGGCCGGGACCGTGCCCGCCGCGCCCGGGGCGGGGCCGCGCGGAGCCGGGGAGCCGCGCCGGCCGCCCCGCACGGCCCGCTGTGCTCGGGCGGCGGGGCCGAGGCGGGCCGGGGGCGCGGGCGGGCAGGGCGGAGGAGCATCAATGGCAGAGCGCCATCTTGGCGGAGAAAACATGGAGCCGCCGGCGCGGCGGCGCTCGAGCCGCCTTCCTCCGCCGCCTCCTCCGCCCGTCGCCCGCCCCGCACCCGGGCCCGCCGCCTGCGCCCCCGCCCCGGCCGGCCGCCGCCCCCGCCCGCGGGATCGGCCCCACGCCGCTCCGGCCGCGCACAAAAAGGCGGCGCGAGTGGCCGGGCCCGTTCTCCCCCGCCCGCAAGGTGCCCCCGTGCCCCGGGCGCGGCCCCTCGCCCCCGCTCCCGGCGCCGCTCCCGCCAGCCCCGCTCACCGTAATGCTCTGGAAGATGCCGCCGGCCGTGGCTGCCCAGACGTACTTGGCGTCGCAGTAGCCCACAATGGCGGCCTCCTGGCAGCAGCCATCGCACATAAGGTTGTCCACGTAGCTCTGCCAGCCGGCCATGATCGCGGGGCGGCGGGCGGGCACGAGCGGGCGGCGGGCGGGCCGAGGGCGCAGGGCGGGCTGCGGTCCCGGCGGTGCGGCGGCGGAGCGGACCGAGCGCTGCGGCGGCGGCGGCGCGGCCCAGCCCAGCCCTGCGCTGCCGCGCCGGGGGCGGGGGAAGGAGGGGCGCGGCCGGCACCGCCCCCGCGGCCGGCGGGGAGCGGGAACGGGGCGGGGATGGGGCCCGGTTGCCCGTCCCGTGCCCGCGCCAGGGTCCTCCGGCCGTCGCAGGTCGGGGTGGCCGGTGCTCGGGGCTGCTGCGGGGGCCCGGCCCGGCGTGATCGCGGTGCTCTGCGCTGCGCTGCCCGCGGCTCGGACCGCGCGGGGCAGAGCGCGGCAGGCCCGGCGGTCGGGGCCGGCAGCGCTGGGCCGGGGTCGGGCGGTCTGTACGGCCGCCCCGATGGCCCCGCCGGAGCGCTGGGAGCGGTGAGTACCGGCGGCGGCGCCCCCCGCCCGTCCCGGACCGGGACAGCCGGACGCGGCTCCCGGGGCCCAGGGACGGGGCTGCGGTGCCCTCCCGGAGCGCCGTCCTGAGGGGACGGGGGGGGTCACAGCTGGGCTGCTGCGGCGGAGCGGTGCCCGCTCCTGGAAATGCCCCGAGGGTCCGGCGCTCCGTCCTCCCCGTGGCCCGGCTCCGTTGAGCCGAGACGGCCCCTGCGCAGCCCGTGCATTTCTAATGTATCGTTTCTACAGTCCCAGATCTGCCTTTGCGCCCCTCGGTGATGGGTGACCCCCGTGCCCTCCGCCCGATCCCGCCGCTGCAACGTTCCCGGACCTCACCGCAGGCCCGGTGGGTCCCCGTCTCACACACCAGCATCTGTTACATTGTATTTCTGCAGGGGTTTGCAACTGGCGATTTCGGGGTTTATTCTTCCAGATTCCTCCAAGTCTCTGTAGCAATAATTTAGTTTCCACATTCCGTTACAATAGCCGGGGCTGGTGCTGGTGGTTTGCTGCATTGATGCTGGGCCCTGGGCAGGATGGCTGCTCCAAGACTGTCATGGGTCGTAGAAATGTTCCCTAGCAACTTTAAGGGCGTGTTTTGGGGCAATGGCTCTGTCTGTCTGTCTTGTCATTGAAATCGATGGGGGGATCACTTCCTTTTGAGCAGGGTGGTTTTGCCTTACAGGGTGTCTGTTGTGATTCTCAGGGCATTAGGATGTGATGGCTGTCCGTGTCAATAGCTTTGTGGCTATAATTCAAGAAGTTAGATCTCATACTTGAATATGTCAAGGCATAGTATACAGTAAATTAATCTGCCTTTTCCTGAGGTTATATCCCCAGATATTTGTAATGGATACCCCTACAGCATACTTCAGGGTGTTCTTAGACCTTTCAAAACCTAGTTCAGTTGTCATGGGACGGAGTGTTGTTTTCTACTAATTGCTTGGATTACTAGATACTTGGAGAAGAGCTCATTTGCATATTTAAGCTTAATTCCTTAAGTTTTTCCTCTGTTTTATTTTCACAGTGCCTTTCCCCCTCTGAATTTGGACAGCAGCATCCATGTATCCCAGAAACATCACTGTATCTACCAATGAGTTACAGGCTTTAACATTCCTTTTGGCTTTTTAAATAGCTAAAGGTTTTTGTGAAGTTTGGATTGCCTTCATCATCTTCCCTCCACAGATTCCTTCCATGAGAAGGAGAAAATGCTCTCTTCTGTCTGAAGGTGCCATTGAGGGTCACTTCTCTTTTTAATGCTGGTCTGTAGGAGGTCCCAGTTAAACACCATTGCTGGCCCAGACTGGAATGCATCCATCTGAAATGAACATGAGGGTGATGAGCCCATTAGTTTTAGAGTTCAACCAAAATGTGTTTGACTTTTTTTTTTTTTTCCCAAGCTGCAGTAAGGATTCCAAATTGTGTTACTTTAGTAAGTGGATTTAATTAATATGGAGGCAGACATCTCATCACCCAGGGGCAGGCCTTGGGGATTTAGGAGCTGCTTGTTTGCTATGCTAACATCATTATCCTTTGACTAATGAGAGGGGGGTTTCGCAGGGACGGCAGGCAGCTCGGTACAAGCATGCAGGTATCCTACACAAGAACCTGTGGGTTTCCAAGACTTTATCCAAAGGCTACACCCCTCTTGCCTGGAGAGATCTCGCCTTCTTGCATGCCCCCACCCTCCAAGGCATTTGTCCATCCCTTCTGCCCCAGGAGGAGTAGCTGTGCCTTCCTGAACCCCCTGAGCCCTCTCAGCCCACATCCAGTCCTGCCTCATGGGAGACAGAGACCCCGTGGACATTGCCAGCTGAGCTGGGGCTGGGGGAAAAGGTGCTGCTTTCCTGGAATCCTGGGATTCCAGAGCCTCACTAGGTTGATGTGTGGTGGTCCAGTGCCTCTCCTCTTTGACAGAGCAAACATTTCACCTGGGTGTCAGAGTGCAGAGTGGGTCAGGTAATACTGGTGCTGCCTCACAGGGAATATCACCTTTTGTAAGAACTGCACAGACCAGGTGATCATGGAAGTCTGGGATCTTCTGAACATAAATGGAAGGATGAGAGTAGAGGATTTGCCACCTGCTTTGGTAGCTGAGCTTTTAGTCACGTTATTTGTGAAATAACTCTAGTAATATATTTAGGAAGTGAAGTCTAAATTGGGTTACTGTTATTTAATGCTATGAAGCTACCAGGTATCTTGTATAATTTGCAGATTCAGCAGTCACCAGTGCTGCTTCTGAAAATCATGATTCTTTAATTCTGTTTTTACCCATTTGTTTGTGCTCTATGTTATACAATCATTATAATACTATTTGTATACACACTACTGCAGCACCTCCTTTGAGTCTGCTGGATTTAAGAAAATGAGGGTGTACTCTGTATGTTAAAGACTGTAAGAGGAGGGACCTCCAGGGTTTTGGTTTTTGTTGTAAGGCTTAATTGGAATATAAGGCATTTGTTAAGTGAAGGATTTATCTATATCTATATCTATAGATATAGATATATATAATTGTTAAAATTGATAGATGTAGTAGGTCATTTTAACATCAGTACCTGGACTGATGGACATATGAAATGGGCTGATTGTAAGCTATATCTGTATGAAAAATAGTTGTGAAATAGTAATTTCTTGCATTTTAGTCTCTTCCTATATTTTGCCTGGTAGTTGTCCTTTCTGGAATTTAATTGCATACTAAAGCCACAGTTTGATGGGTTTTGTGCAGCTTGTAACAATTACCGGTCTTTTTCCTTTGGATTAGAACTTTGCCTGAAACTGATGTTGGATCATATCTAAGAAAAATAATCATTTGAAAGAATTTTAAAGTTCCATCTCTGCTTAGTCAGAGTGTACTTACTATTTATAGCTTCGGGAGAAACTTCACAGCTTTTATCTTGGTAACAGAAAAGTTGTAATTGGCCAAAAATTTGAAGGAGGGCTATATTTTGTTAATAATGTAACTTGGAGTTTTCTGTCAAGCCTTGTAACTACCAGAGCTGCTGCTGTGCTCAGAATGGTGAGACAGCCAAAGGCAGGATTACTTACCATAGAATCGTTTAGGTCGGGAAAGGCCTCTGAGTCCAACTGTTACGATGTCCCAGATCTACCTGTTTTTCACCAAGCTCATCATGTTTTTCACCATTTGCAAATAACTGTAACCAGCATTTCTGTACAGACAGGAGGGCAAGCAACCACCAGCAGAACACAGCAGGGTTTTTCTGTGGAGTTAAACTTCACAGAACCCGGGCTCACGCGCTGTGGCTCTGGTGACTTCACCTCCTGACCAGACTGAGTTCCTGTGGCAGTCTTTCTCTTCACCACAAGTGCTTTCGGAAGTGCAGAGGAGAACACTGATTTACAAGTGCTACAAGTCAGCTGGTGACAGCTAGGAGCCATCTGTGTCAGCCTTGTAAAGGGACGAGCTGTGCGAGGTCCTTCCACGGCTACCTGAGGGACTTGGCTGAAAACCCAGGAAGCCACTAAAGGCTGTGATGACTGTTAGCTAGAAATAAATTGTAAAAATGACATATTAATGAGTGGAAAACTTGAAGCTAGGTTTAAAAAATACAGTAATACAAAATGAAGCAATCATTAGGACCTTAGTGCAGAGTTCTGTTGCACAGCTACTGTGCATGAAGAAGGTCCTGTGCCATGCCAGCATAGCTGTGGCTGCACTGCAGAGAGCCCTGTACAGCTGTGCCTAAACCATCCAGAAAGTTCTGGAAAAAAGATGCTTTTCTGCTGTGTCTTATGTTGTTTGGAACAGTGGTGTAACTCCATGTGTGGATGAGAGTTTTGTCTCTGTGGAGGAGTTTGGCCTGGTATGATCAACACAGATAGCTCAGCAAAATCATTGTCTTCCTAAGGATCAGTTACGTAAGCAGTTCTGAGGAGTTTCCCTTCCTTATCCCCTATTTGACCATCAAGTTCAAACAGAACAAACCTAAAATGTAACTCTGAAAATTAGGTGCAAGCGCAGGGATATGGCTATGTCAGATAAGGGTATGAAGTTGCTTCCATTTCAGTGGCTTTCAGAAGTACTTAAAATATGAGGAAGGACAGTTCTTTGTGCATGTGGTTTATAGACTGGCCAAAGCACTAAAAAAGATGTCTGAAGTCATGGAACTTTGCTCAGCTTTAGGACTTCTAAGATAAATTTTTGCTGATGGCCAACAAAAAATAAACGTTAATCCTAGAAATTAAGATGTAAATTCTTACTTGGACAGGTAATCTCTGGTTCATAATGGTGTTTTGATGTGAGTCCCTACAGGAGTGAGAAGTGCAGAATTATGCCCATATGACCCAGCTTTCTATGCTTTCACAATTACCAAATAGTCGGGCTCCTCTGTGTGCTTAGCTCCTGCAGCATTTTGTTTTGCTTTAAATCAAGCAAACAGAACCCAAATAGTAAATGTTAACTTTTCAGTTATGAAACAAGGGCATGGACTGTGAAATTCAGTAAGTTTGTAGATAGCTTGACACAATGTAGGGAAGGTGGGAGCATCATCAATCCAAAGTCTTTACATTTTTTTGCCCAAGCGCATGGTGACTCATCAGGTGCCTCTGGAAGCTGACTGTTGCAGTGGGTGAAAGGTAGTGTGGAAGTTAATCTGAAAAGCCAAAACTGAGGCTAAGAAATGCAATAAGAGGGTTGGTGAAGCACAAAGTTAGAGGGAGAGAAAGCAGAAAGGTGGAAAATGGAGCAGAGCAAGCACAGGATCTTGACACTCATTTTTTCTGCAGATATTTGTGCAGTGTGGTAACACAGGCAACAGTCTTACTGTGGCTTCATCTGCTTGGGTTTTTTCTCTCTTACAGTTACTGGTGGATACAATTTTACTTATTTAATAGGTGATCTGACTTTTTGGACTGTGTGAGCATGCATTAAGAAAGAAACCCCAAACTTTAGCTCCTGCCGTGCTGCGTTATGGTGCACAGCAGGGACCCCTCCCACGGGACCCCACCCCGGCCATGTCCTGGGGAGTGCTCCCAGCCCGGGCTGTGTTCCCAGCTCCGTGTCTGTAGGGGATTGTTTCTGCATGGCTTTCCGCTGCGCCTTCCGTCGCCCACGTGGTTCAGCCGGGGAGCTCTGGGGCTTTGTTCAGGGCGTTATTTCCTTCATTCAGCTTGCTTTCACTGACATATCTATAAATATGTTTGTCTGGGTGCTGTTTCCTCCTCTGGTCGCTAATAATTTCGCTGTTAATGCTTGTTACTTGTTAAATATCCACAGGATTTTTGGATCATAGATACATATATTTATCTGTGATACGCAATTTCTACCCAAAATATTCACTGTCTGCAAAAGCATTAAATAATAATTCTGAATATGTTCTAAATGTATATCTAAATGTATGTCTAAAATAATATATTCTAAAAACATATTTTCTCAAAGAAATTATACAGTTCGAATCTTATAATGCTCTAGAAAATTGCAAATGAATATTATTGTTTGAATGAAGCATAAATGGCTAAATGTGGGGTTTTTTTGCAATTTTTTAAATTTTATACTAAATTTTTCTTTAGCCGCAAAAAACTCAATACTAATTCTGAGCAGCAGTCAACTCACCTGCAGTTAGCTTGTCAAAGAAGCACCAGTGTATTTAATATTTAGAATATTTTGGTGTGAATCTTTGATAGTTGAAGTACGACATAGTTTCAGCACTGACAAAATTATTTCTGCCATAGTGGTAGGGCTTTTCTCTCAATTGCATCCAGTCAAATACCATGTTTTTGAGAAACAAAGCATATGAACATTATTCTGCTCAAAGTTGTCTACATAATCACAAAAGATGATGAAAGAAATATTTTAAAATACATGAATTATGTACTTAGAAGACATATATTCAGTCTGAAAGGCTAATACTGTGCAACTGTAGAGCAGCCACTCTGGTATGGGTGAAAGGAAACATTAAGAATATAATGGAATATATAAATGGAAATGGAAGAAACGAGGGAAAATATAATTGAGTAAAGGGGAAAGCAGCCTAAAAATGGTGTGGTTTCATATGGAATGTTTTCTTTCAAAGTACCTCTCTACGGACAACAAGTAATTCCATCTCTCGACCAAACTGTTCATTGTGGAAGGTGAAGGTGTGGGCAGGTGTGGCGGGCAGAGCCGCTGCCAAGGCTGGGGCAGCTGGGGCAGCTCCTCCAGTGCCACACTTGCCTGGCATTCCCAGAGACCTGGTGGGGCTTCAGGAGGTCTTGGTCTTGCTTGTACCCCTGCCCCGTGGATGGGCTGTCCCCCAGCACTGCTGCTGTGATCACACAGTGAGTGCCCGTGGAGGAAATGTCTGGATCTTGGGCTGGGTGCTGTTCCTGAGCAGACACTGGGTTTTTGCTCAGCCTTTACACAATTGGGAGCGGACTTGTGGTGCTGGTACTGCCAGGAAGAAGAATCCAGTCATCTGCTATGTAACTCAACTGACTGTATTCCCAACCTCCTCATGCATCAGTGCTGCTGGAGTGCCCACAGCTGCTCACACCTCTCTTTGGTCCCCTGTGTTTCCAACAGTGGTGCTCCTGGTGTGTACTCGGGTTATGTGAAGATGAACATGGGACAGATGCATCTACTACAGCTTGTCTGTACTCTGCCCAATTGGCATAGTGCTTTTTAAAGCCTTGTAACTTGGGTGTGTTACGTTTAATGAGCGTGAAAGGATTTCTCCCATCTCAGTTTTCTTTGAAGCTCAAATGTAAAATGCATAATGAGGATCACTTTTCTTAAATGAAAATACAGGACTTCAGTATGTAAGAAAAAATTCCAACATGTTACTTGAACAATCAGAACAATTGTCCTCTGCTAAACAAACCTTGTTTTGGGTTAGAGTGGCATGCATACAGTAGTTGGGACATGCAGCATGGTTTGGTTACAGCACTAGAAACAGGTACAGTTCTAGCAGGTGTCATTGCAAAAAAAAATGCAGAAAAAGAGAGGAAGGGAACATTAGCACCAGCTAGATGTTTTGTGTGTTGGCAATAGATACCCACCTTCTGTGCTACCATTAGGAGGTGTCTGTGCAAGAGGTAGTGGTGACCTGCTGGCAGGTGCTCAAGCTGTGCATTTAACAAAAAGGGCATTTCAGAGCCACTGATAGCCTGGCTTTGGCTGGGGGTTAGCTGGGTGAACTGGGATGCAGCAGGAGGGCCGTGGGTGCTCAGAGAGGAGCCGTGCAGGGCGCGTTGGTGATGGAGCATGGCAGGGAATGAGGTGACGGGCACGGGGACCCCTCTCACCATGGCAGAGGTGTTTTGGGGGCTGTGCCCTAGTCCAGGCTCTCTTGGCCCAAGGTACAGTAGCTTTAACATGAAACCCTTATACACTGTAACAGCATTTCCACAGCATTCTCGACTGCGTGGGACAGCCCTGGGATTCCAGGCTGTCTGCTGCTCCTCCATAGTTTTGTGAGCATGTTTGCTATTTTTGGAGTGCAAATCTCTCAGTAACTTCCCGGCCCCTGGCACTAGATGGAGCTTCAATCTACTTGCACTTGGAAGTCAACTGTTAAGTTTAACCACAAGTTAAAAATAGGGAAGAATAAATGAAGGTATGCATGCCTGCTGCTACACTTGCAGTGCCTCTTTCCCTGTTTGTAAGCAGAGTGGTGTAAATTATAATGTAAATTTAATTTAAGTGAAAATTAAAATATTGCAGGAGAATCTCCTTGATCTAGTACATGCTTTATAATCACTAGCACCCTTTAATATACTCTCAGGCCCATGACAGAAATTACTGAAAGTTAGATATGCTGGAATTGTGCTGCTGTTTGCAGTGCTCTTGCAAGAATTCATTTGCATTTTCCCTTCGTGCTACCAAAGCCAACAATTCAGAATCATCTGTTGTCAGTCACTTCATTTCCCCTCCATGTATTACCCTTAAAAATACTGAACAAATGGAAAGAAATTGGAAAGAAAAGCTTTGAAAATGTAGTGTTTGATACTGCACATTTCTTCTTTCCTACAGCCCATGAATGCAGCCTCCCACTGCCGCCCAGGCTGGCCTTGCTGGGTGCCAGCATCCCAGTGCCACGGTGACCCACAGACACAGGTAACCCACTGGCATGGCTCACATGGCACACGAGGTGGGAACTGCTTTTCTTCATCTGCTGCATCAGTGTACAAAGCGAAGGCTCAATGTTAATCCCCCTGGGGAGCTGCCATAGGAGCTTCCTGTTGGGACTGTGGCACTGCAATTAGAAACAGGTAATTAGTGAGGGAGCACAGTGGCTCTGCTCTGGCACCCTGGGAGCACGTGTTCCCTTGGGAAGTGAGCAGAGCTGAGCCTGAGCATAAGCTGTGGTTTGGGTGGAGGCGGGAGCTGGAGGACTGGCTGTGGACACTGCTGTTCCCATTCCTGGCCCAAGCAGAGCGTGGGTTAGTGATCAGGGCAGGAGTCTGAGGAGATGCCGTGCGGCACTGCGGGAGAGGGACAGGGCCCTGTGTGTGCTGTGTCCTGCAGCCACTGTCCTTTCCCTCCTCTTGGAGAGGCTCCATTGTGCTCCTGCCCGGTAAATACCCAGGATGGAGCGGCAGCAGCAGCAGCAGTGAGGTGCCACAGCAGTGCCTCGCAGTGCCGCAGCTCTCCTCAGAAAGGGAACCATCCAATGGCAGGGACAGCCCCCACTCCATGAATAGCAAACCGAGTGACCTAATTCAGCTCTCGCGGGCGGCCCTCAGCTGCTCCATGGCGGCCGTGCTGGAGCTGACTCATCACTTCCAGCGTGGCAGAGATTGGAGCTTTCAGGCTCTAAGGATTTTGCTCCTTCGTTATTAATTTTAAATTGATTAAAATGAATTTTTAAAATACCAGGAGACACTTGCTTAAAGAAATAGTTATTAAAAAAAAGAAGGAAATAGTTGGTCTGTGGGAGTTAACTCTGTGCTTAACAACCTCTGGCTCCTGCAGCTGTAAACACACGTTGCAGCTTGGAGGAATCTTATGTCAGCTGTTCTGTCAGAGCAGATTAGCAAGGAGAGGATTAATCAGTCTTTATTGTAAAAAAGTGAGAATTATGAATGTCCTTGCTTATACCCAGCACAGCCCCTTGGTGTCTTCATCCATGGCAGGGTAGTATTACAGGCTTCTGCTCTCAGCTACACAACTTTGTCCAGAAGTTGAGATCTCCCAGAGAAGTGCATCCCTGCAGGAGCATCCTGTTCTTTCCAGCATTGCTCAGTGCCTGACAAAGCTCCTCATATGGTCCTGAGACCCCCTGGGGTGGCCTGTGGGCTGTCTGTACTAGAACGGGCTGTCAGTCCCCTACTTGGCTTCCCACAGAGGTTGCCATGGCCAGGGTGGGCAGGACAGATGGATGGAGGATCTTTTCTCTCACTGTCAGAGGGCAGTTCCAGGCGAGCTTCTCCCCTGGGCCGTTCTCACCTGCTGTGCCTGCCCCAGCTCTGCCAGGGGGAACTCCCTTACACTGTGGAGCAGGAGGACTTTTGTCCTGAGTGATTTGCAGTGTAACTGCACAACTCAGGCTTATGCAGATAGGTGATGCTTTTCCCTTCTGCCTCCCCTCTTTCCCACTAGTGGGAGGTGGATGCAGCCCAGCAGCCAGCCAGCAGCCCAGGAGTGCCCATGGACCCACCTAAGCCAGTGGCACTAAGAACCCTTCTGTGCTGTGGTGGGCTACAGAGATGTAGGAACCCCCTTCCTGCAAGCTGCAGAAGCAAGGTCAGAGCTTTCTCCCCATGGGTATTTCTCCCTGAGAGTACATCCTGGGGCTAACCCCCCTCAGCATCCCACCTGCTGCTCTGGAGGGGGACAGGGTTGCACCTGCAGGCAGCCGCGCAGGGTCTGGCCCTGGCTCATTGGCAGGGATGGTGCTCTGTTACAGAACGTCAGGGCTAGCAGCATAAACAGTAGATTAATTGATAAAGCTTTTTGTCCTGTAAACAAACACCAACAAATTAAAAATTTAAAAAAAAAAAAGCAGGTGGAAAACTCTGTGGTACTTCAGAGAAGACAGAGCAGGAAGCCAAGAGGAGTGAAGGAGTAGAATATGGAATATGGAATTCACCTGGAGGTAATGAAGCAGCAGAAGTTGTCAGCCCCTTTTATGTCTGTCTAAAAAAAAGAGGCCTTTTATTTCAGTGAAACCAAAGAATGAAAATTCAAAAGCAAAACAAAGCAGAAAACTTCTGCAAAAACAATTTGACACTTGCTATTGACTGAAGGAATGGAGCAGCAGTTTAACAAGTTGCACAAAAGCACCTTTCATCTGCTTTAAAAATCTCTCTAAAAGATACAGTTATATCACTGGTATGCTGTTCATCTGTCTCTTCTTCTCTCTAGATCTCAAAAGCTGAACTGCTCTAACTTCACATGCCAAAGTAGAACCTACTTCTTCTGCCTCTGCCTTGCGCTCAGCATCCAGCCTTGCCCACGGTGCAGTACAGTAGATATTGCTGTGGGAGAGCCTGGCTGGTGAGACAGAGTTCCTTCCTGCTCACCTCTTTGAGCATCAAGCTGTGTCAGCTGGGATGACTGGAGAAGCCCATCTCTTTCCCCATCCTCTGAGACCAGGTAGGATGGGTTCCTTCTTAGGACTTGATGTCCCAGCATCAGCAGCAGCTTGGTTTGGGTTGTCCTCACTGCTGTGGCTTCACCTGGGTGCCTGGGAAGGGTGACAAAGGAGCAGTTTATGTTGTATGGTTTGTGTATTGATGTTCTGTCATAGTGTACAGGTTTTAACATGTTTCAACTTTTTTCCAACCAAGGTTCTTTCCAAATTAGTAAATTATATGAACAAATTCCTTTCTGTGCTCAGACTCAGATAGAATGTTTTACTCAAATTAGAAAATTATGAAGTTGGGTAGGAACACTGGGTTACAGAATGTTCTTGGTTCATTCATTTTGTTAGTTGCAGTTTTAGTTTTAATTATTTATAACACTCCATAATGTACTAGTTCATTTACAGTAGCATATTTCAGTAGAGTAATGAAATTAGTGACATTAGAGTTACTGCAGCACTTGCTGTTTACCCTTTGCTGAGTAATATTCACATTAATTATGCACATATTAGAATGGCTTTAAAATATATATAGCCTCAGCTGGAGGGTTTAAGGTGTTTTAGACATGCTTGTTCTTCATGTAGTTAAAAATAGTGTCCTCTAAGACCTGATCCTAAAGTAGTACATGAAATCAGTGGCTATTCATGGAAGGAAGGTTCTGGCAATGTGAAATCCTTTCAGTCTCTGTAGGACCAGGCCTCAGTCAGCAGACATTAAAGAGCGCGTTTCAGTGTTTTAAGGGCAATATTCTTGTATAAGGTTATTTTATTCCTATTTCTTTTTAGATAAATGCACCCAACAAGCCTACTTTCTTGTTCCTATATGAGCTGCTGCAGAATCTGTTTAAGCTCTGCTGCTGTTAATGAGAACGTGTGTGTAGGGGTTGGAGAAGTTCTGGCCCTGTGGGCATAAAACATGACTCTGACAAAACAAAATGCTGTCAATATTCACAAGGCAAATAGACTTGAAAATAGAGAAAATATTTCTCACATTTTTTTAAAATTTTATCACTCAGCTGTGCTATTTCTAGTAGTAGTAGACATAATATTTTGCAGAAAGAAATGTGACACATCTATTCAGCTGGCAGTATTAAGTTTCCCTATACTGATACCATGTCTTGCCAACAATCCTGTCCTGTGGTGGGAATTGTGTACAGTTACCTACAAGACAACTGGCTGTCTTCGTTATGCATTTCCTTTTTTTCTGAGCTGGAGATAAGACATGCCCAGCTATGCCAAGAATTAAAATAACCCAACAAGTCCATTCTTGTTTGGTGAAAATGCTGCTCATGTTCTCAGAGCAAAGCAATTATGTTCTCTATTGTCACAGGATCTGCTATTTAGTGGTAATAGCTGTCAAGCATCAAAAAACCCACAACAAACAAACCAAACCAAACAAACCCCAACTGAGGATGATCTGCCTGGCAAGTGACCTACCTTACTCCCTATTTTGCTTCTTTCAGCCCCAGGCTAAGGGTGCTGCTTCTGAAACAAGAGTGATGTGTGCCCTCCAGCTCTACCTGCAGCCAAACTGAGGGTTTGGTTTTCCTGCTCACCCATAATCCACGCCTCCTTCCTGTCCCTGTGCTGCTGCGTCACAGCCAGGGCCGTCTGGAGGAACAGAAGCCAAGGGTTCTGCCCTCAGCATTCAGCCCCTTACGCCTCAAAACCTAGTGCCCATTGTGGGCATGGCCCTTCCCCAAGAAAACTTGAGAGAGACATGATATGCATTTGCTCAAGTCTCCACAGAATCAATGTCCAGGGTAACGTTTGGCCCATGGTGTTTTATGACAACCAACTTGTAAATAATTTTGCTTTTGAAGGTTTGGGGAATTCAAAAATTCTCTTGTTAAGGAGAAATCTGCAACACTTATTTGAGCAAACCGTTCATCATGAACCTAAGCAGGACTTGGTTAATCCGTGTTGGGAGGTGCAGAGTCCTTCGGTGGTAATTGGTTTCTCACATTTCTTTGAGAATGTGTGTGTAAATTGCAGAAAGGCAGAAAATTACTGAAAGAATTATTCCCTTCTTTCTTTTTTTTTTGCTTCTAATTTGCTTGTAAGGAAATTGAAAGTAAGGAAATCTCATCAGGAACAACACTCATGTGCAGGTCCCAAGCCCCCGCTGCACCTGAATTCAACTGATGCAAAGAAGCTGAATTTAAAATGTGCTACAGAACAAAGCAAGGCCAGCTGGAGGATTTCCTGCAGGAGAAAGGAAAAGCCTGGGGAGGCAGTGGGCTGGAATGCTGAGCTGTGACACATTCCTGCTGGCTGTAAGTAGTGTATCTGGGAGGAGGAGAATGGGAATGTTTTGATTTGGTCATTTGGACTAGTGAACTCTTCCAGTTAATGCTTTTTTTAATCTAGAATTTAAAATGCTGTGGTTTTTTAAAATTTCTTTACATATGTTAAAAATATCTCTGTGTGTGTGTGTACATACATATATATATTTATATATATATGGGGTGAGGTTGAGTAAGTATTCATTGTAAGAGGCTTCAGAAATATGGTGCGTCTGCCTCTGAGCCCAGAGAAGCACTAGAAGATAGAGAAAACCATGTTTGGGTGGCTCTGAGCCAGGTGTCTCCTGGCTGTGCGAGCAGTGTCAGGCTTTGGTTGGTCGTGCCGGTGCCGCCACTGCTGCTGCAGGGAGTGGTAGGGGGCCCTCGCTGCCCGCCTGCTCTCCCCGCTGTGCTGGGAGCGGGGCCGGGGCTGTGGCACTTCCCAGTGGCTGGGAGGAAGAGAGGGGCTTGGGGAAACCACCCTGAACGTCTCAGTAAATGGGCTGGAGGAGCCAAAGGTGGCTGCGGAGACTGTGGGCAGGAGCCCTGGGTATCACTGCCACCAGGCACATGTGTGGCACCGTGCTGCCACTTCCCCTTTATCCCAGCCTCGCCTCACCCTCTGTGCCAGCACTGGAGGCTGGGGGTGCCGCACCACAGTGTCACAGGGAGCCAGACCCACGGCACCCACCCCGTGCAACTCCTGTGCTCTGGCATCACAGGCTTTCTGCAGTGCTGATGATGGCAGGTCGCACTCACAGCTTCATGAAACACCTTGTTGGCTTGACTGGTTCACAGACTTTTAAAGCTGCTAGTATTTCCTTTACCAGGCACTAATAAAAAAAAAGCCTATTTGAGTCAAGTAAAAATGCATTTAATTCAGTACTTCTCTCACAGTCTCAAAATCTCATCATACCTCTAATTTTAACGTAGGCTGAGTCATTTTCATCCCACTGCTTTAAAATCAGGCTGTGGAGCACAGTCTTGTTATGCTATGTTTGGGAAGTAGAATGAATGCTTTTTCTCTCTCTTAGTCAGATCTATGCTGCCAAGCTTTTATCATTTGGTGCTCTTGGATATAAAAATAACATGTAGCCAGGAATGATTTGCAGAGTTAGTTTTATTATTGTAAGCAAAATTGAAACATAAAGGATGCCAGTGTACATTATGCAGATTGATTTATAAAAATAAATTAAATGAAAAGTATTAGTCCAATAGAAATAATTAACCTTGTTCTGACATAATTCCTTAGGGCAGAGCTTGCATTGTGTGTGCAGTACAGTTGTTCTGCAGTACTTGCTCTCTGGGTTTTATTTCTCTGTGGCTTGCTGGTTCCTCGTCTGCCAAACCCTGTGCTGAGGCTACAGTGATTAATATTTTTCTAAATAAAGCACTGTCTTGTTCCCTGTTCTTGAAACTACCTGATTTGTTTTTCACAAATCTAAATACTTCCATTTGAGACAGATTCTTGGTGGAACAATTGTGGCCTGGCAGTGCTATAAACCCGAGAGACAGTTGTGAGGCAAAGCCCTGGCAGCAGGTAGGGCTGTTCCAAACACCATATCTACCCCTGTACCCGTGGGGAGAGAGCAGAAATACAAGAGGAACACCACGATATGTTTGTGATTGTAGCAGGTGGGAAATATTGCACCCCTGGGTCCACGACCTAGCAGGAACATGACAAAACTAGAAAATCGCTGAAAGTGTCATAAATCCAAGACTGAACAAGCTTGATCTGTTTATATACAAGATCTGGTTGTGAATCTGGGTTGATCCAATTTTGCTTCTTCATATGAATTTGAAGTGTAAAACACTGGCTGATTTTTATTATTTTTACTTTGAGTTAATTTGGATCTGCATCTTGGAAACAACTTGGGTCTTTGGACATCGTGGGCTATAACAGAAGTGAATAAGAATGCATTACACCAGCTGATGTTGTTATTTCACCTCTTAGTATGGAGAAAGTCCCAGTGCTGCCACTCCACCTGGCAGTGGAGTCATCGTGCCCTGCCACTGGGCTGTGCTGACAGAGGGAGGGAGTTGGAAGCAGCGAGAGAAGCCCTGGGACTCTGCTGCATGACAGTGATGTCCCTCCCAGGCTGGCACATGTTCCACTTGCTAATGTTATATGTGCGGGGGACCAGGAGATTGGAGGGAGGGGGTAGGTGTCTTTCAAATCAGTGAAATATGGTGCAAAGTCAGGTCCCCTCTGAAGCAGGATTGGCAATACCTCAGTTGTTCTGATGGTTCTTCACCTGCTTTCTTCTTTAAATCGGCTACTGATGTCATTCCATGGTCTGCTCCAGCACTACCTGTAGAAACTCAGCCTACGTCTTCATTCCCCAAAGTAGCCTGTTACTCCTTGATCTGTACTGGGAAGATGAAACCTGGATTGCTGTCTGCAAAGGAATCTGCTATACCCATTCAGCTTTTTCCTTCTAGACTAAACAAATCACATTCTCCCTATTTCCCACAGAACTGAAGGACAACTGAGGCTGGGACTTCAAGAAATCCTTTAGTCCAACTCCTCTTTCAAAGCATGCTCCCAGTTCCCCCAGCTTCTCCCTGTATGTCAACTGCTTCTATCCTTTCCTCAGCCTTGTGCCTCTTCATTAGACTCTCCATCATGTCCAGGTCTCTCTGGTATTAAGTGATGTTTAATACTGGCAAATCTTGAGATTATACCGGTCCCTGTCTGTCTCCCCAGCAGAGCACTGTAGATAAATCCTGTTCCTTCCCAGTTTCTGCAGGGTGTTTTTCTGTTAGTGAAATGTTCTGTAAGTCACTTCAATCTCTGCATTAACTCTTATGTAAGCTTTTCCCTGGCTGGAGACTGTGAAATGAGATGCCATGAACTGCAACTGAAGAATGAAAAATAGGACTTTTTCTCTCCCTGGTACCAGCAGTTTGGTCACTTCAATCTCCCTTCATGAATATGAACTTTAAAAAGTAGAATTACAGATTTCAGAAATAGAAGATTAAAAGATTTAGGAAATCCTAGGAAAAAATCTCCTGATTCTGGCTGAATAGGTTGGAATCCATGTGTAGATAGAGAACTAACAGCCAAGGTTACTGTGGGATTGCAGGAACCACAGCATGTGCTTGCCAAGGAGACTGCTCTAAATGGGAGAGACAGCAAAATTAAAACTGGGTTTGTGTGTGGTGGCAAGAACTGGGTTGTGTGAGCCAGAAGCATTTGAGCCCTTGTCTCAGCCTCTCTCTTGCTCATTGATCATCACCAGAAATCTTCACCCCAAGGTTAAGTCTTCCAGTGGAGAGTGTTTGGCAGAGGGGTGAGCTGCCTTGCACCCAGTGCCAAGGACAGCAGTGCAGAGATTTTCTGTGCTTTAGGGTCATGCTGTAGCTTGCTGTAGCAGCTGCTTCAGGCAGGCTGGCCCCAAAACCCATACCAGGTCCCTGGCATGTCCCTGCTCTGTGCCAGGAGCAGGATCCTGTCAAGCATGCCAGCCCAGTGGCACAATTTTTTTTCTCTACATTAGGTTTTCTGTAATCTCTGCAGCTTTGGGGCTTTATAAACGGGTTTTTTGGCAATGAAGAGAGATTGCGGTGATGGAACCGGTGTAATATGTGACTCTGAGGCACACAAAGCCCTCTGGAGAATCAGGAGAGGACTTCAGTCTGTGAGGGTGAGGTACAGGATTACCCTGAGTTTATTGAAATGGTTTTAATCGTGCAATTGATTTGTCAGAGAAGGTGTCCAATAATAGGATGTTTGGTGACTGATCAAGGGGTGAGATGAAGATCTGCAGCTGTCTGGGGGCAGAGCAGGGAGAGTCACTGACATGCTCCCATGGGATTAACGTGGCAAATGGAGAGGAAACATTAGTAATGACTGGTGTTCAAAAGCAGCTAATCTGGTCACCTGGAAAGTGCCAGTTTGTGTCCTTGCCTTCATAAGGGGTTTATTTTCCTACCTGTAAAATGAGAATGACAGTCCCTGCTCAGCAGCCTTGCTGTGCCATGTGTTCGCAGTCATGGCTGCTAACAATGACTTGTCTGGAGTGACTTGCCACTGTTCCTTTCCTTGGAATAGCAATATTTCTGCTCAGCAAAGGCACAGCTAACCTAGAAGGAGTGAAATCAGCAAGTGTGAGATGGTGCAGTGCACAGAAAGAGGAGGCAGTTTGTTCCAATAAAGCATGCGGTGGCATGTTGAGGTGGAGCTGTGAAACCAGGCTGCAGGATGCAATGTAGGATCTGCCTGAGCTTTGGATGTGGTAATCGGACAGCGACTGTGTTCTCTGCTGCCATGGCTGGAAGTATTTTGGAAAAGGGCTTTGTTACAAACATGCGTAACTGATAACAATGGGTTCGTGAATGTAAATAAAAAACAACCGAGCCCCACCCCAGAACACAGCAGATGATGACTCTGGTTTCTCTTCTGTGGAAACTCCCGTTTATTGCAATGGAGACTGAGGCCTACATTCCAGGCAGAGCAGTCTCACAGACCCGCAGAATCGTTTAGGTAGGGAAAGACCTGTAAGATCAAACAGGCAGCTTCCAGGTATGTTTTGATCCTAAAGCGTGGATGTGGGGGTAAGCTGTGCCTGCTATTACGGAGGAATGAAATCCTGCGGCGGCACTAATGGCTCCCTGAGGTCACTCAGAGCTGGATCTTGGCTTCGGGCAGCAGCCGAAATGATCCCGTGCAACTGGACAGAAGCTGCGAGTGGTGCCTGTTGTTGGACTGGAACGGCTCAGGCTTGGCCATTGTAACAAACTGTGCTCCGTCAGTCACGAAGGGACCCGCCCAGCACTGCACGGCCCAAGAAGGGAGTTCCAGCTTCCTTCGGGTGCTTTCTGACGGAGGCTGGTGCTCGCCTCTGGCAGAGGGACGACTGCAGGCGCTGCAGGGTGTGCCGGATCGAGTGACGTGCTGTCTGGCGCGGCTGAGGCGAGCTCAGTGAAATCCCCGTGCCGAGACAGCCCCGGGCCGGCTGGAGCCGCGGGCACCGCGGGCCTCCCGAGCCGAGCAGCCCGCAGTGCCGAGCGGGACCCCTCGGCGCCGGGGGCTGTACCCTGTGCTGTTACCGGGCGGAGCTGCAGCATCGGCGCTGCTGCACAGCACAGATCCCGCGGCAGGGGCTGTCCGTGGGAGTGTTCCGTAACCAGCCCCACACCTAACAGTGCTCGCCCTCCCCTGGGAGAGGATGTGCAGAGACGGTGGTGAGGGTCAATCTCATGAGGTAGAGCAGCGTTCAGACACAGTAACATCTGCTTCGTCCAATGCGCAGAGGGATAAAGTAACTGTAAGGAGATGCTGCTCCTTTTTTAACACTGTGTCTTTTACTACTTGAGCAAGAGCCTTTGTTCCAAAGACAGTCCAAGCTGCCTTTGAAATCAGCGCTGCGATCGCACCCTCGTGCATTACATTATTTCGTTTCTTTTTCAGATAGTCTCATTCTGTTTGTGCCTTTACTGAGGCGGCCGGGCCCCGGGGTGTTTGCAGCACTGCGGTTTGACAGCGACAGCCTGGGAAGGCGATCCATGCAGTGATTAAGTCACTTTCGCAAGGTCACGCGGCGAATCGCTGGCGCCGCCAGGAATAGCACCCCGAGCCTCTTGGCTCTCTCGAGCCCACCCTCGGCACTCCAGCCCGAATTCCCCTGGTGAGCATGATGTGATTCATAATGCAGCAGCTCTGCTGGGAGACTGGCTACCTCTGCCATCCCTCTTGTAGCAAAAAATCTAAAACCCAGAAATGGTATTTAGGAGCTTATCTATAGATAAAATGTACTGAATGGTTAAAAATAGGTTTTAAGGTTCTTGGCATACATCTTGAACTTTATATTCTTTGGGTTTTACTGCAGTGAAAAATACCATTTCAATGACTGTCATTCTTATTGGCTTTTTCTGGTCTTTTTGTAAAAGTACCAAATTATCGATGGGTGTTTTTTGCTTTTAATTGTGCCTCTTGAGTGCTAAACCTATTCCTGCTATTTGCTTGCAGTATGTTTAGGCTACGTTTAGGCAAATGCACATGTAAGTGGTTATTCAGTGCCTTTGGCGCTCTGAACAGAATGTACTGAACTCCTGGGGCTTGGTACAAAGCCTCAGCCTCCAGCACTAACAAAGCCTATGCAGGCAGCAGCTAAAATGTGAGAAATACCTGTGCTGGGCAGAGGGGATTTGGAGGATCTGGGAGGACCATGGATCATGTGCCCAGTTTTTGTCCTATGGACTGGGTAAATGGAATAAGAGCACTCCTGCCCACGTCCTGATAGCTGAAGGTGCTCTTGAGATCTGACCATGCTCGCCCTGTAGTGGTGGAGCCAGCTGGCTTCAGCATGGGGCCTATGGAGCCTCTACAGTGGGTAGTTTGCCAGCGAGCTTCCTCGCTGGCTGTATCAACAGTCAGCTCAGTGTGTTCCTGAAGCATAATGGAGGCTTTCCTTGAACAAACACCATGGCGCTGGAAGCGAAGAGGGCCAGCATGGTGCCACTGCCTGCTGTGTGTCCACTGACAGCAGCTCAGGATTTTTACAGTTATTTGTCTTGTTACCCAGCCTATTTTAAGCTCTGATGGAATAAGGATGGCATTTGATCACAGTACTAGGCACAGCTGCTTGGCTTTTATAACCCATGTTTTAAATCAGAGGTTTTTCCATGTGTGTTTGTGTCTTTAAATAACTTCAGGTTTTGTGGCTTTAAACATGGTGCACTCTGCTGGCCTTTGCCATGGCCTGACAAGAGAGATCCTGACTCGTTCCAGTGGGTGCTGGTTACTGAGGTGAGAACCCCTCAGAGGAAGTGGGGAGTGATGACTGGGGGCACTTAGAACAGAGCGCTTCTGAGCCTCCATCCTGGGTCTAGGTCTCACGGTGGGAGTTCAAGATGTCTTTGTAACTCTGTCTCTTTATTTGTCATCTCTTTGGGTGTGCCTGTGTCTCCTGATCTTGAGTTTATTGAGCAGGTGGTACACTCTGTAAAGACTTTAATATCTGGTGCTACAGGATAAATCTCTCCCATTGTGACAATGATCAGCTGCTAATACTGGGTCTAACACTGGTTCTGTGCTCACGTGCCTCTAGCACACGGAACGAACGGCCTCCATCTACCATGTCACACGTATGCCTAAAACTGGTGCTCTGTGTTTTACTCCCAGGTTTGAGCCTTCTTCAAGCAGTGTGTCCTGCAAGCTCGGTTCCACTTTTTGGTGGATTAGGTGCATTTGTGGTTACGGTGAAGCTTAGTCTTGTGTCGCTTGTTTCAGTGCTGTGCAGAGCAAGGCAGCAGGCTTGCTGCTTCCTGCAAGTGACTGCAGCCAGGAGATGGATGTTTGCCATCTGGGAGGAAAACCAGGACTGGCAGTAACAGGAAGTCGGGAGAAAAGGAAAAGAAACCTCTTGATGGAGAGAGGGACAGAGTACAGAGAGGAGGAGAGGCAGGGACCAGGATGCCTGTCATAGATGTCTTTTATCTCCTTACATCATAACCTGAGAAAGTATGGAAATCAAATCACCAAAACTGCTGTTTTAAGCTGTCTTTTAGTGGAAAGGACATCAATGGGACATCCCTGCTTTATTTTGTATGAGTGTTTTTTAAGGCCCATGTGGATAACTGATATCCATAAAACAAACATGCATTACTTGTCATTTGAAATTGTATTTCTACCTATATATTCTCCTGCTTTCCTGTTTTGACAGCAAAGTTTTTATCAAACCTCAGCTTTTGATGTTATATTTCCGAGCTGCACATATATATATATATATCAGCTTCAGGGCAATTGTGCACCACATCTGTACACACAAATATCTGATACCTGCAATTAGAGTTGGAGCCCTCACTCAGCCTTTAAAGCTGGAGCCCAGCTGGGGGCTGCTGGGCCACTGTGCTGATGCTTTGTGCATGAGGGACAATCACCTTCTGCATGAAGTGAAATTACAGCGGATGAAACTTCCACCTGTGTATAATGTAGGTTAGAAGGAAATCTGGAATAGCTGATGTGTTACAGTGAACTAAGGTTTTGTGCTGTTGGGGCCCCAGGGATGGCTCGTTACCTCAAATGCTATTTTCTCCCTGGAAAACCTTCACTTACAGTAAAGAGGCAAACTGTAGTGATTCGGCCGAAGGCATAACACCCCAAAAGTAACTCTGCAGTCCCTACAGACAAGGCTGTTTGAGTCAGCTTGTAATGAGAAGAATACAAAGAATTTGATCCTTAAAAAAATCTAGCTTAAGTCATTGTTTAATTTTAGAGTACAACTCCTCAACTACAGATCCTATCTGAGGGACAGCTCAGAATCATTGAAGCCAAGGCTGACATCCTATCCCATCCTGGTTTTACTAAATCAGTATTTCATTCCCCCAATGGATCTTATTCTTACACATATTTCATTACTGTGTCCTTTCTGTTGTTTTCAGGATTATGAACCTTTCTGCAGCAAGATTTGAAACAACAAGATTCCAGTTTAAATCAAAGTCCCTAGGATTCACTTGTGATTTCCAGTAAGGTTTCTTTAAGGTATTTGTGATTAACATTATAATGTTATAAACATTTATTGTGGATGTCTAAAATGCCATAGGAATTTTCTGCTGACCTTTCAAAAACTTGTTACACTTCAGTACCCTTTGCTTGTGATTTCCAAAACCACCTGTGTCCTGTAAAAACAGTTCTTCACAAAGATTTGAATGTGTTTTCCAGCACTTCCTGGGGGTGTCCTTGATCCAAGCTCTGGTTTGGTGTGTATTCATAAGCTGAAAGACAAACTGATTGCTTTCTACAGCTCACCTCCATTTTTCCTTTTGTGCTAATGGCCGTAAAGCAGACAAGTAATTGAGAAATGGGAGCTGAAGACAGTGCTGTATATGTAAGAGCTGGTTGTCCTTCCTCCTCCTTGCCTCTTTACTCAGCTGTTAATGGATTTGGATCCAAAACAGAGAATTTTTTCTGGCTGACAGCTGCCCTTAGCACTGGCCCTGGACAGGCCACCTGTCCTGCTGTCTCTGCAGCAGCTGGCTCTGGGTGACCAGCCTGCTTTACTTAGAAGGCTGATACATCTATGGGCTGTGACACAATAACTGAGCAGCTGGATGCTTTGGAGCCTACAAAAAACAATGGAGTTGGGTTTTGTTGCATTTTGAGCTTTTTCTGTAGAAGGCAAAAGTAACACTCTGGCTCTCTTTATTTGTGTGGTCCTGATGTGCAGTGTGGCGAGTTGCAAAGCGTGATGGGAGCAGACAATGTTTATGCTGGTAACAGGAGTTGAAAATTTTTCCTGTCATGGAAAAGATGAACAAGCCTGTTCCATGTCACCTTTCTTTTCTGAGACCTGTGAGTACTATCAGTTCCTGCTATTTTAATTCATGAGCTTGCTGCTCTGTGTGGAATTAACACCATCACTATGCGTGGTCCAGTGTCACTTTGCCAGGAGTGGATGAAGGGGGTGAGAGGGCACAAGCTTCCTGGCGCTCCCTCCTGTCTCTTGTCCTTCACAATTTGCTGGGTCGTGCACTGCTAGAGCTAAAGCGGGGACAGGAGAGCACAGAGACCACGGTGACAGCAGAGGAGGATGGCATCAAAGGACCTAAGCAAGGGGAAATGCAGGTGCCACAGGTTGAGAAGACCAGGGTGCCATGCTTGGTACCAAAAATCTTGTTTATAGCTGTGGTCAGCACCCTGTGCTGAGGAAGGAGCAGGCCTCCAGAAGTGTTCTCTGTCATGCCTGGCCACAGTAGTCCATACCTCGAGCAAGGAAATAACCATCTCTTTCCTCCTGATGGGTGGAGGAACCTTCTCAGTCCTGAGGAAACTTCCCCCAAGTGTGTCCCCTGTGGTCAGCACTGCAGGACTCAAACTCCTGCTCAGGAAAGCTCAAAGTGAGGTTAGCAAAAGCCAGTGATAAGCTCACCTGATGCAGCTCTGGGATTTTGGAAGCTCATGTTGCTAAGCAGATGTGATGTAAAAACCTCATTCTACTGGTAGAGGATGCTGTACTGATGTGTGGAGTCTCTGTAAGGATGAAATAGTCAGCTAAATTCCTCTTCTGGAGGCCTTACACATGTGGAAAACAGCAGCTGTATTTGCTGGGACAACTAGTAGATGCAGAACCATCAGTCTCAGACCAGGAAGCACTGAAACACTAAATAGAGGAACTTCCAGGTTCTTTTTGAGGTTATATTTTCTTGCTACAATTGCAGGCAAAGAGAGCTGGATTTTTCTGGACCATACACCTACAGTGGAGAGCCGTAGGTGCATTTGCCATTGTTATGGGCAGTCAGTATCAGGGTTGGCTGAACAGCAGCTTGTGTGGGTGTGTTTGTTTTACTCACAAACATGGAGAATAAGATGCTGATTGCTCTTAAAGCTGTTCTTTTCACAGGTGTTCTGAAAGGGACAGTTGGAGAGAAATCCCCTTTAGTGAATCTGAGACACTTGGGTCTCTTATTGTCAAGGAGGAAAGATGGCCTAATTGTTGTAGTTGTTGCCCAAATCAATGGTGCATCTCTTGAGCCAACAGATACCTCTTGCAGTGGATGTTGGTGGGTACAGAACCAGATCACCTGGAGTTTCCTTTCCTTTTGCTCCCTTGGGAACAGGGTCTTTTCCCAGCCACCCTTAGCCAGCATGAGCTGCTCTTCTGTGGACTGATGGATCCTTAACCAGCATGGTGGCTTTGTGTCTACTCAGTTTGTCCTGTGTTATCCAGCTTGCTCAGCAGCGATGTAGTTTTCTACTGCTTGATGCCTTGAAAGTCTCCTCAAGTACATGGGGCAGGTCCTTCAGGAAGAGAAGCAGTGATCCAGTGCTGGAGTTGGCAGAGCTTGCCCATTCTTTATACTAGAGCTTGTTCCTCTGTGTGTTTGTGCACTCATGCATATCTCCTCTCCAGCATTTTACCCCCCTCTTCTCTTTAGTGCTTTATCTCACTTCTGCTCTTTAGTGCCCATTATATCTTGTCAGCTCTCTGGCTGCAGAGTGGAGGACACTCTTTGGGGAAGTGCTGAGAATCCTCCTCCTCTGGAGGAATCAGCGCTCCTTCAGGAGTGCTGCATATGTGGGTGATGAGTGTTTCACATGAGTGTGTTTCTCTGACTGTGGCCATATAATACACACGTAATCTTGCTGCTGTAGGCTTCTGTAGTACACCCCATACTTTGGTTTTCCCATCCCTGCCTGGGCTCTCTTTGCAGACAGCTGAAGGTGAGTAGCCTGGCTGCTGCCTGGCTACATCCACCATCCTGATTAACTTTCCTCTGTCATTCATTAATGGGTGAATATCTTGTGCAAGCTGCATATCCACCTGCCTTGAAATCATTCTCTTGTTGTGAGTGATACCTGTGTGTTTGGTTCATCTTCCATCCCCTCACCCTGCTTCTCCTCACATTCTTCAGCAGTGTGACTCTGCCGTGCACAAGAAAAGCACACCACAGGCTGGAGCGACCAGGAAGTCTTGTCCCCAAGTGGCTTTGTGCTCTTCAAAGATACCTGAAGGAGCCAGAGAAGGTGGCTGGTGTCCAGAATATGCAAATGCAGGTGTGTGGCAAGTGAACCAGTTGTCCATGCAGGTGTACCCAGACAGGCAGGGTACTGGTGAGGGACCTCCCGGTGCCTTTGGCTGCAGGAAACGTGTCTGCCAAACTGGGAACCCGGTGGGCAGAGCCCAAACTCGCATTTGTCCCCAGTGCCACATTATTGCTTGTGGGCTGCTGCCCTCGGCCTGTGGTAACAGAAGATGAGCAGCTGGTGGGAAGGTAGCAAGAATGTGCTACTTAAACATAGGTTGCTGATGGCTGTGTTCCCAGTGCCCAGATGTGTGGCTGCTCTGGGATGCCGGGACCTCCCTCTCTGCTGCGGTAGACACTTCTATTATTAGCTTAGTGGCAGCTTTCCATGTGCCAACACTCGTGACTGCAGGACTGTTTAATTTTCACTTCTATGAATTATTTAATTTGTCAGCTGTTGGCTTCTATTCATTAAGGACCAAATGCCAAAGTCCTTACCTAGATTTTTACTCTGTTAGGGCTGAGGCATGAATCCTGTCTGAACAGACCATTTTGTCTGGGCAGGATCGGAGGCAGGGTAAGGTCTTGAATCTAGAAAGTCAGTCATTACTAGGCTAATCAGTAGGAAACCCCCGTCTTCAGGAAGAGGTGTCTAATCTCCCTTCTTCTGGTAATTTCTCTTTGGAGAAATGAACTATCAGTTCTGCTAAAAGCACTGCCGCTCCTGTTTTGGAGCTGCACTGTGCAGATGAGGTCTGTGCGTGGTTGCTCGTGCCTGGCTGCAGGTGCTGGCCCCTCTCTAGTGTGAAGAGCTGCTGCTGTGAGCAAATCACCCTGTGATTCACTGCTGGGGGCCTCTCTTTAATTATTGAGTGCCAGAATAGATGTATATTGAGTTACCTTGCTGGCAAATATCATCTCCAGCACCTTGTGTAACTCTACAATATTCTTGGTTTTCCTACTTGCATAACATGGTCTCTTTCAGAGACTCTAAAACAAGTCAAAATGTGGTTTTATATATTGCTTGTTTAGTGGTACATGTTCCCAGAGAACAACAGGTTGTACACTGGTTTTGAGGACAGTCTTCCCTGACAGGACGGATTGCTCTTTAAAGTCAAGTCTGCACTTGGGTGTGCAGAGGGATGAAGCAGGATATGTATGGTGCACTTTGAAACCAACCAACCAACCAAAGAAAACCAAAACCCAAGCCCCCAAAAAACTCAGAAGAAGAGAGAGCAGCCTAATTTTGCTCTCACTGCTCTGAAAGATTCCATTTGTCAGCTGTTGTTGCGGAACACCTGGCTGACCTGTCTTAAGGGCACTGTAATCTCTACTTCTGGACAGTGGTGCATGACCAGAAGGCTGCCTGCATCCGTGCAGGGCCCTGCTGGAGTCACTGCAAGGAGCACATGGAGGTGTGGGGGAAGAGAAAACCAACATGCGTGTTTGTAATCTTTCCCAGCTTTCAGAGAGACATATGGCTGTCAGAGTTCTCTCATCCCTTCTCTGTCCTGCTGTCACACACAGGCTGCGAGCAATGGTTGAGAAGTTGGCCTTGGATCCATTGACTTTTAGTTCCTGTAAAATCCTCTAGATAATGTAGTCTGGAGTGCTCACAGCCACGATACAACTTTTATGTGTTCTCTCTAAGTATAGTAAGAAAACTTGTCATTCCTTATTTTGCAAAAGAAAAGAGCCTCTGAATTTCATATAATCCTGGTGAGAGTTTACAAAAGAGAGGAAAAACATTACCCAATGCCTAAATGGAAGGAAAGGCAATGCTGAGGTTAGTTGAAACTTTTGTCGCTCACAAGTTTCAAGGAATTTCATCTGTCAGGCAGGACACACAGTCTGAGGTCCCCCCTGTGTGGCGCCCCGAGTCTGCCGGTGCTGACAGAGTAACTACAGCTGGGATTTGTGGTACTGCTGTGTCCCTGGCTGCCGAGAGCAGGGAAGTAGGGCTCCATCTACTGCTGTGCGGGGAGAAGGCAAAAATAACTGGGATGGCATTCCTCTGCTGCACAGAAAAGCTACTGGGGACCATGGACTCCAGGTACTTTTTTTTTTTTTACCTCTCTGTGGCTTTCAGAGCCCTCTACTTCCAATCTAGTTCCCTACCTGGGACACTGTACAGGTCTATAGCTGGAGGCAATCCACACTTGGCCATCATGGCACAGCAGGCAGGAGGCTGGAGAAAGCAGCAGGAAAACAAAGTGACTTGTACACACACAGAGAGAATTGGGAGCAGAACTGGAAGCGAGCCCTGGTTTCCAGTCTGTTTCTCTGACAGGATGGGGTTCGTGCTCCAAAACGTGTTGAACGTAGAGAGTTCTTGGAGGGCTGCTGGAGCAGGGATGGGGTCTGGATAACACATAGTTCTGTGGCTTTTTGCTTGGTTTGCCACTGCTCTGTTTCTGAACTTCCTGTACTTGTGCAGGCAGACGTGTTTCTTCTGTAGGTACACGTGCACAGGCACTTCTGTGAGAACTGAGCCCTGCACAAGCCGCAGGTCTCTCTTCTCCAAGCTTGGGGATGCAGCGAGGGGTGTGAGCTCTGAACCCATGGCCATGTGAGAGTTCTGCAAATCAAATTTGGGCCTCGATATTTCCTGCTAAAATCCTACCCTCTGCTTTGCAGGTTGTGCTGAAACAGTGGGGTGGGTTGTCCAAAGCAGCTGTGGCTGCCCCGTTCCTGGAAGTGTTCGAGGCCAGATTGGATGGGGCTTGGAGTAACCTGGACTAGTGGAAAGTGTCCCCGGTGATGGTTTGGGGTGGTGGACAAGAAGATTTTTAAGGATCTCTTCCAGCCCAAACCAGTCTGTAACTCGATGTTGAAAACTGAGTATTTTCCCCTGCCCTTTGTCTTTACAATCAGCTGAATTAAGCCTCACTGTACTGGGTGAGATACTGTTATATATAGCTGGTACTACCCAGGTTGAATAGCTCCTGAAAAGACAATGTGTACAGTGTGGGTCTAGAAAAACAGATTTCAGGATTTAGAATATATGGAAAAGGTGCTAATTTTTCTCTGCTGATAGTGAAAACACATTATTCAGTGCTTGCAAGGCACATCACAAGTGTCTGGATCCTTAGGCTTCCACAAAAAGCCTCACTGATAGTTCTGCACTGACGGCAGAAAGTTTGTGCTTATGTTACTTGACTGCAAGAGCTTGCCTCAAGTTATGTGAACAGATGTTTCAGATTTGAGTTCAGCCTGGCAGAAAAGGGAGAACAGTATAGTCCCCAGCATTTCCTGCCTTTTGCCTGGGAAAAAAAATCAGCAGTGATTTTCTTTTCTTTCTTTCTTTCTTTCTTTTTTTTTTTTTTTTTTTTTTTAACTGGATTTTCCTTTACCATGAAACTGAAATGCAAGCTCCTGGAAAGGAGGATAGAGTCACTTTTCTTCAGCACACTACTTCTAGCTTCACACCTGTTTGCTTAGCTGCCTTTTACTTCTCTGTGTTTCCACCTGTGGAGCTGCAGTTATCTCTGATAAACATCACAAGCCCCTCCAAATCCCCTTCTCAGAAGACATGGTCTGCTTTCCACATCTTGGTGTGTGTTACACAGCCAGGCAGCCCTTCGTGTAGCAGCTGGTGTGCTGCAGCAAGAGGAACACCAAAAGAAACGTAGAATACTTCTGACACAGCTGTCAACAATTAAACTGTGTGAGGCTTTGCTGGCAGAGGTTAGAGAGAAGCCCAGAGAAATCTGAAACAGCTTTCAAAAGAAAGCACTGAAAATATGTGCCAGAAACCAAGGAATAGATTGCAGATGGCAAATATGTCTCCACAGACTGTCAGGGAAGAATTTGGTTTGACAATAGCTGTGACCTACCATGTTGCTGCTGGATCAGGCTGAGAGCAGCGATATAAAGAAATAATTAAGTCAGATAAGCGTGCCCCATACAGAATTTTTTTGGAGAGTTCACCCATATATTAAATGGACAGATCCCACAGACTGCTGGGAGGAGAAGGACCCTCCAGTCTTGCTGACATTGCTGTGTTGTGACGCTGACAATAGGCTAACATGCCTGTTGTCAGTAAACTCTGGTGACGTGTTTTAAGGCAGAAGATGGTGTTGTCACTCCCAATCTGGGACAGGGCAGCGAAATGGTCTGTTGGGGCTGGAGAGCAGTGAGTGGTGACAGACAGTGGAATGACATGTTGAAAAGTGCCCTTGGCATGTCCCTGCAGAGCCGGAGGAGATCAAGTCTGTTGTGAGCAGTTAATGAAGAGATAAAACGTGAGGGGAGTGCTTGCACCCAGCACCTGGGAGCCGTGTGGGGTGGCTGGGGGCTGCGGGCACACCCCATGGCTGTCCCACCCCATCGCTGTGCGGAATGAACTCCCTCGGTTGGGGTTTAGCCCGTGACCCTGCTGGCTGAGCTGCTGGCTGAACGTGGCCATGAACTGCATCTCAGAGGCCATGAAATCTCTGGGACTGGAGGAAGCAGAGCTGAACATCTGTGTGTGCTCCCTGGGACTACTGCAGCCAGTGTGGCAGAGCTGTCCCCATCCTCAGGCCTCGAGTGGGAGCTTGGCAGTGACGGAGCACAGAAGGAGCTTTCGTTTATGTGGCAGGAGGGTCATGCTGGAGGCAGTCTCTGGAAGTTTGCTGTTGCTGCAGCAGTGTTTGTATCGTAGTTCCTCAGCTTCCCAGGGCTTTTGGCACTGTGCAATGTGAGGAGTAGCTTGCCTTTTCCTTGGTCACCCCTTTCTTTCACAAAGCATCTGCTGGATTCTCCCAAATTAATAATTTATTCAACTCACACTGCAGCCTAAACCTTGCCCATGGTAATGCAGCCCACCTGATGCAGCAGGTTTGAGTAAGGCTGGAAGTTCCTCAGGTCCTGGAAGAAGACTCAGGAATTGTCCCCATTGCTGTGCCTGGGGAGAGCTCGAGGGGGGTGGGAAATGGGGATCTGCAGGGTGCAGTGAGCAGGTATGAAGTTGCATCTAAAATAGCTGAACTGTAATGTTTTCTCTTGAAAGAAGGGATGAGAGAGGCCACAGATACTTCCTTTCTGTGACTCAGAAACTTGCAAATGTTCTTTGATTCACACCTTATAAGTAAAATTAACCTGTGCTTCACTGTTGCATTTTCAAATTTTCAAACATTTTCAAAGAAAAGATACTTGTAGAAAAGAATTCAGTAACAGAAATGGAATTTGCTCGTGGATCAGATTACTGTTATTTCTGACTGGGAGCAGCACCAGAAATACTTGCAGGGATTTCCACTTTGCCTTTGGAAAAGTATGCATATTATTGGTAGAAAAGTAGCTATTTGGGAGGATAATTCACACATGTTAGGGGACAGGGAGAGGGATGAGCCACATGAGGCTGCTGTAGTCATAAGTGTTCAGCTTCACACTATAATGTTCACTCACTTTGCAACAGGGATCTTCAGCTGTTGCTGTCAGGAATGTTGTGATATGAGCTGCAATTGCTGCTGCTCAGAAGATGTTTCTAGTCCAAGGTCTGAGCTTTCACCCAGAGTGCGATTCTTGACAATGCTTATCCCAGGATCTTGGCATCCCACAGAGCTGTTGGACATCTTCCTGCATGTGGGGACTCTGCAGACAGGACTTAATGAAGGCAAGGATTTTCTTGACACTTAAATTTGTCACATCATTTGTCACAATCATTTGTCACACTGTTGAATGTGATGTTACCTTGAAACATGAACTTACCCTCAATTGGGAGCATCAGTCAAAAAAATCTAGTATTTAAAATCCATGCTGGTTGGGGTCTATATTTTGCAGACAGCTGTAAGCGAAGCCTCAGTCCCTATGATGATGCTCTCCTTGAGGATGGAGCCTGATCCATCCATGGATCTGGGCCTGAAGGCCAGTGGACCCAGGCAGCCCTCAGAAGGGGGTTCCAGGCCCCCAAGCCCATCTGCCCACTGGCAGCAACAGCAGAATGTCACAGTCCCCTCTGAATGCCAGGACAGAGCAAATGTGCCCAGCATTGTCAGCTGCCTGGGGTAGGCAATGACAGCTGTGACCTGTGGACTTTGAATTCAGAAACCTGATTGCTCATGATCTACAGGGGTGAGTTTTAGAATAAAACCGCAGTACTCTGATCATAGCCCAAAACACTGATATAAATGGTGCAAGGAACAGACATCTGTAGTATAATACAGAGGTATGTAATGTAGATAGTATAATACATATAGTAAAAGGTCTGTAGCATAATATTCATAATACACATTTCTATTCCTGGCAAATTGAGAGTTTAAAAGCAAATGAGTAAAAAAGGATTTTATTTAAGAAAAAGTTAGGCATGTTACATTGGAAATAGGACTGGTTATATTACTTTACCCCAAAATAATATACTTGATATCTCTGGGTGTCAAGTGAAATCTTGCTAATCAATGATAATTTTTGCATTCATCTTGGCCAGGTTTGTTCCTTCTGCTGAATGGACTGTGCACAGAGAAGTGTGTCTCCAAAGAGTGAATTTTTTGGCCCTTTGGAAATGTGTGAAAGGGACAGCAGCATATGGACTTGGCATGCCCCAGGGATGGCTGCAGGAGCTTGGGAACATTTCGTGCCTGCAGCAAGTATAGGAAGAAGGGAGGAGGAGAGCAGAGCGAGCAGTTGCAGTGAACTGTGTGGTGATGGCACTGAGCTCTGTGGCTGCACCGGCGGGGCCCAGCCACGACCAGGTCTTCATCACAGCTGAGGTGAGAAACAGGCCTTGTACCATGCCCCTTCCTGCCTCATGGGTCACAGCAGAATTGGGAGATTCTTGTGAAGGGCCATGGGCAACATCTGGACCAGAGGGTGCAGATAAAATTGCTGGCCGGAGCAAAAACAAGGCAGGTGCTGAAGGCAGGGAGGGAAGAGGGGCTGGCTGTGTAAGCTCAGTGCTTTCAGCAATCAGAGGCTTCAGCTGTGTGTAGAGGTGGTGGGAGCACGCCATGGCTTTCCAAAATATACCACCGTGAGGCAATGTATTTGTGGCTCAGAAACTCCAAATGTTGTACTGAACAACGAATTAAAAATGAAACCATAGAGCTCTTTCACAAACTGCAGGTGAGCATAGGGCAGGTGAGCACAGAGCAGGTGTGACAGCAGTGGGACAGCAGTAAAAGAAATGGTATAAAAACCCCAAGGCCTTTCAAAGCATTTCCAAACACTGCCCTGATTCCCCTGCTGGGTGTCAGATTCTAGGAGCCAGCTCCCTGGACAAAGTTGCAGAGCCACATCTAAAACCACATCACCTGCTGCACAGAAAGAGCTGACAATGGCATTAGCGTGAAACTAAAATTAGAGGCTAATTGGGCTCTGCAGTCACTGAAATTGATGACAGTTCAGCAATTAACATCCCTGAATCTTCTTGACTGAAATAATTCTAAAATCCACTCCCATTCATGCTTCTTCCTGCTCCACAAGCAAGAGTCCTGGTAACCTGGCACACCTCGCAAATGGGGATTCTGGCACCTCTGCCAGGGCTCGTGCTGTTGGCAGTGGTTACTGGGGTAGGTGCAGATCTGGGAAGAGATCTTGTGCCTGCACATCAGCATCATTTCACAAAAAGTTGCCTCTGTTTTATCAGCAAAAAAGATGAGCATTTTCAGGAAAAAAATGATTTTCTTCAACACCCTTTTGTAGAAGCTGCTGGGGATGCTTAGTCAGTCTCTACCCATGGGGTCAGCTGCCAGGGTCCAGGCCACAAAGGGATGGTGGAGACTGCCTTGGCTTTACCATCTGACTCCAGATCTGGCTTCTGGCTTTCTCTGATGCTGCCAGTGCAATCACCAGGGCCTGGCTGGAGTTAATTGAATTAAATGGGACACTTGCCAGGGACACTAGTTATCTCTTGCAGTCATTAGCACAAGAACGGTGTAAGGATTAGCTCTTGTTTGCTGTCTCAGGTGTTAGTAGCAATATACCAGCTGACAAGTTAAGGTCTTGTCAACAGCAGCACGTTCTAGAAGAGACAGGAGCTTCTCTGGCTGATAATACACATATCAGTGTTTTAAAATGCGAGTATTCCTCACTTCGAAGGGTTTAGTGAGTTTCATTTCTTCACTCTTTTCAGCTGGCAACCTGCCCTGCAGTTTCAGGGGGTCAGCAAACCTATGAGACAGATGCACTCACTTTTGTGACTGACAATGCTCTCCAGCCCTCAGAGGCTGCTTTGCCAGCCCTGGGAGTGTGGGGTGAATGATGCAGTGGAGTCACTGGACCCGGGTGTTGCTGGTGTCACATGAACTCTGCAGTAGGGGAGGAAGGAGCTGGACTTTTGGATTCTGAAGCATATTGCTCTGATAATAATGAACAGATTTAGCTACTGCAGGAAAGTGCGGGGATTTGCAGTTTGGTGTTTTGGATGAGAAGTCCTGGTCTTGAAGGTCTGTACAATTACTGAGGAAGCTATGGGCACGTGCCCATGTCCCACCCACAGCAGTGTCCATGTCCTGTCTGCAGTGGTGCCCACATCCCACGTGCCCATGTCCCCTCTGTGGCAGTGCCCACATCCCATGTCCCGCTCAAACCGCTGCCTGCTCTTGGTGGGCCACCTGGAAGGGAAGTGCTGCTGCATTCTGGGGCTGGGGAGCACTAATGACAAATAGAACTGATGATGAAGTGCTTCGGGACCTGCTGAGCTCGGACATCTCCCCTGCCTGGGGTGTATGGGATGGGGATTGCAGCCACTGTACAGGGGAGCTGAGAAGTTCCTCAGGAGCAGAGCAGCTGTCCCTGCAGCTGGAGCAGTCTCTGGCCCTGCTGGATGTCACCACGTGAAGGCTCTGAGTGAGTCTCACCCTGTGCCTGGCTGACAGAGAGGTCCTGCCAGAGCCAGAGGAGCTGTGGCTGATCGGGACTGGACTGGGTCCACAGTGGGTGAGAACAGCTGGTGCAGCTCCACACCAAACCTCAGTCTTCTGGCTTTTTGGCTTCTTCATGGATTCATTCTCTCATGACCCAATTGTTACAGGCAGGCTCTGTGGTGACTCCTCCACACTCTGGGTGCTGGGAAAGGCCCTTTGCTTGGGAGAGTAATTTTAAATTCTCTTTGAGGGGCCTTAAAAAGTGCTGAACTTTCAAAATAAATTCTTGTGACTGAATATTTATTGTTGAACTCAGCATGAAATGTAGAACAAAGCCTAAATCCAGGAGGGATGCTCTGGACCTTGGCGCAAATGCTGACAGCATTTTTAATATTTACTGTATTTTAGTGGTGAATGCTTAAAATTATTCTGGTGTTTTGTGTCCTCAGCTGTTTCTCTCTCTACTGTGGTTAGCCTTAGAGTCTGCATTGGAATGAGTAACACATTAGTACAGGGATTTTTTGGCAATGCCATGGAGTCAGAGCCCCGTTACGGCCCTGTCATACGTCAGAGGAACGGCTGACGAGTTCCTTCATGCTCACAGGACTATAACAGGGTCGACTGTCACCTGGCTGGAGCCTGCCTGTCTGAGTTCACCAATCTGAGCCCATTCTGTCATTGGAAAATTGTTCATTCTCATGGCTATGTCAGAATTAATGTTGTGTGGCAGTGGGAGCACGGTTCAGTGCAGGGTCAGCGTGGTGCTGACGGGCAGTCTGGGGCTGCCAGCCGTGACCTTGGCCCAGCCTGCTAGGGCCAGCGCCAAGGCACAGCTGTTACTATCTCCTGTACTCTGCAGTAGTATCAAGCAATATTCAGGACTTGAGCAAATCCAAAACCCCACAAAATGGCTTTTGTATTGTTTGACAAAATCACATTAGTGTTTCTTTCATGTAAAATATCCAGAGGGTTTTGCTGCTTCCAAAGAGAAATGCATTCCAAGTGGTAACTGCAGTAACTAGTAAATAGAATTATAACTGCTACTGACAGAAAAAACGCTGTAATGATATAATACAAAAAATAACCTTCATTAGTGTCAAAATGAGGCAGATGTGAAACATTATGCTGGTGTTTCCTCAGGGGTAGCACTTAAGTAGTTCTTTGCTTGCAGAAAGGTATCACAAAAGGTTTGGATCAGAGTAAGTCAGCTGGAGTTTATCAGAGTTGAGAAATATGGCACAGAGTAACAGGCACAGAGAGAGCCTTCAAAAGGTGCTCTTTGTCCCCGGGCCCTTCAGTGTCCTGAGGGGAAGCTGGAACTTGAGCTGCTGGTACTAAAGGAAAAGCAAGAATGTTCAGCTGGGGGTGTTGGAGGAGAGGCACATACCCTACCACCCCTTGGTATGATGGGCACAGCCTGAGGCTCCAGGTTTTGCAGTAAACGAGGGTGTCAAGGCCCTTCCCATGCTTGTACAGAAGTATTCCATAAAGGGGCTCTGTTCCAGCTGCAGTGCCTGCTTTGCCAGGGGAGCACAGCTCAGGGGTGGTTCCTTATGCTGTCACACTGAGCTGCTCATGTTGGTAGATTCTTTTCTAAGAGGAGGTGTCAGATTGTCTAGCCAGCTGAAGGAATCCAGTTGGCAGGAGGGTGACTTAATAAGTCACTGAGAATTTTAAAAACACTGTGGTTCTTTGTTTAACAGCCAGATTCTACAAAATTAGCGCCAGCTCTGAAATGATTTCTCTCATCACCCTCCCTGTTGTGTCTCCTGCTGTCCTGCATGTCTCTGCCTCCCCTCACTACCTTGTGTTGTCTGGTACACGTGGGTGCGGGGGTCACTCTGCCCATCATCCCCTGCAGGGATGATGCCAAGGCCTCTGTGCGCCGATGAGAGCCCGAGATCAGGTGGCCAAGGAGGATGGAGCATCCTGGTGCCTGGTGTTCCTGCCCACTGTGTGTACCCCTGCAGGGACTGCCTTCTTCTGGTAGGGAGAGTCTGAAATAACCCCCTGTGGGAACATGGGACTTGTGCAAGCAGGTGGCAGAGGTCGATCTGGGCTGGGCAGGGAGAACCCACATCCCCCACAGTGCCCCACGGACCTTACCTAGGGGAGTTTTAGAAAGGGATGAGTTCAGTCACCATGAAACAAGGAGCTTTGGCCACTTGTCACTGTCACACTCAACCACTGGGGACTTTTAAGTCCAGTGGGAGTTTAAAACACTCAGGACCTGCAAACACCTTTGCAAGCAAAGAGGAACTCTGTGCTGTAGCCCTAAACCTGCTCCACAGCTGCTCCTTGCTCCTGGGAAAGTACCTTTTCCCTGATTTTTTTCTGGTCTCTTTTTTTCCTTTTCCTCTCTGTTGAGAGGGGTGAGGACAGGAGCTGACTGCCTGTGCTGCTGTCTGTCCCCGGCAGGGGTAGGGCAGCTCTTCCACTGCTCAGAGGTGCTGCTGAACCTTTTCTCTTTGCCTTGGCAGAGTGCTGTTCCCTTGTGCACTGACCAGGGCTGAGTTTGGGCATTTCACATCCCCCTCAGCCCTGAAGCTTTCTTTGAAAGAAATTTCTTCCCTTCTCCTCACCTGTGCTCCTCTTCATACCTTTCCAGCTTTAAGAAAAGCATCCCTGATGGTTAGTGGAACCTCCATAGTGGGGAACATCACTTTGATCTGTGTTATGTGGCACCACAGGGTTTGCTCCCAGTGTGTTCTGCGAGGAGAGGGCTCCGAGTCAACCCCAGATCTCCCAGTGATTCCCTCCACTGGCTTTCCTCCCTGTGGCATGTGTCAAATGCCAGTGGTGCAACACTATCCCACGAGGGACCCCCTCGTGGCTGGCAGCTCCCGAAGCCCACAGGGCCGAGCTGCCCACAAGGCACTGTTGGAGGAGTGTCCGGGAGTGCTCTGGGGAAGGTGGGGAGCGCTGCAGCCCCCCGTGCTCTCTGGGAGGTGAGATGGCTCTGTCTGAGTCTGGCAACGGGGCTGCTGTGGTTTGGCTCTGTCATCCATAAACCCATTGCTTTCTTTTTCAAATGTACCTTCATAACCTCAAGCAAGCACAGATGTGACTGAAATTCTGGGCAAAGTGCACTACCAATGTTACCCCATCCCTTCTTTTCTACCTTCTGCCATTTGATTTATTATTTCCTTTCCCTTTCAGATCTGCTGTTTTCTGGTTGGAGTGCTTTTTATAGCCTGCATTATAAGGAAACCCACACTTGGGGAAAGGAAGAAGGAATTAAATGGAAAACTAACCACAGGCCTGGCCATTAATCCTTCTGGGGAAAGCATGGTCTGGGCTGCATTCTTCAGCATCCAGACCCTCTGTGGGATACACCAGGTGAAAGTTGTCAGCAGGGTACTAAAGCAAAGAGAGAGCAAGGATTAACATGGGGACTTGATGGGCTCAGTATAGATAATTCTGCCCCTCTACAGTGACTTCCAGAAATGGGGGGGATTCTACAGCCAGTGTGATTTGGCAAATACCCAAAATATAACACGGAGATCTGACAGTAGGGATTGCAGATAGAAAATGTGGCATTCTCTGGCACAGCTGTCATATTATACTAAGCCTGTTACTTCCCTTTAATCCTGATTAATACTCTGCAGTCTGAGCTGGGTCTCTGGTCAGCCATTGTTCTGGGGGGTCTGCTGCTGTTCTCCCACTGGAACCTGTTCATTTGTGCTCTTTCCATGAGGAGCAGCCAAAATCAGGAGTTAAACGTTGCTGATATTAAAAAGGGCTCCTGGCATCTGCCCTGAATGGAGAAATCATCATGTCATTCATTAAAGATATCCATGCTTGTACAGGGAACACATGTGTACCAGATGGTGCCAGTTCAGGATTCCCAGAGGGAGGAGGAGAGGTCCATCCCTGCTGAATGCCAGAGCCACCCCAGTCCCAGGGTCCCCCAAGGGTCCTCCCTCATCTCCCTGCAGCCTGGCAGAGATGCCCCTGGACCTCTCCCAGCTGAGGCTGCACTGCGACCCCAAACTGCCAAGGAAAGTACAAAATTGGTGTATCCTGGGGGAGGGAGGGAGGGATGGGGGCTGAGATCTGGTGTCTCGAGACCATGGTTTTTAGACAGTGCTGATCCAGTGTCTTATTCCCAGCACTTTTCAAATTGTGTTATTTCCTACAGTTTGCAACTACACACAGTAGTCAGAGGTTATGACACGTAGCTGACTTTAAAGGACACTGTAACAAATGCTATGCACATGTTCTATAAATGTTGTTATACCCTGTATTTTATAGCTTTAGACTGCAATAAATGAGGACAAACTATGTGCTTGTAGTGTGAGAATACTGGAATGGTTTGGTCTGTATTTTTTTCCAGTTATAGAATTTCATATTTATTCAAAACAGATCTCCATGTGCAGGTTATGAAGTATTTCATTCCAAACACAAGATACATGCAGTTTGAGTGGATCTTGACTTGCATCAAGGAATCAAAGCAGTCACAAGGGGAAGCAAGTACAATATGTCAGACAGGGGGTCTTTAACCATGCAGAAAGGGCAGCACATCAGAAAGTGTCATTATTTCTGTTCCTCTGTGGCTGCTGCTGAGCACAGTGAGCCCGAAGCAGGGAGTGGGGTTATGTGGGGCTGTGAACCTCCAAGGCAGCACAGCAGGTCAGTGCAAGGCCTGTGTGCTACCGTGCTGGAGGAGTGGTGGGAGAACGAGGGGGACAGTTCCTCATCCCCAGAGTCCCTACTGGGATGGAGCCCACAGGGGTTTGTGTCCAGCTGAGGTGCAGGGCACCGTGGGATGCGCTGCTGAGCTCTTGGTGGGCAGTGCTGGTGCCGGGCACAGCGCTGGGCTCCGCCGAGGCGTTGCTGGGTGCAGCTCCGGGGATCGGCGCTGATGCACTAGCATTGCACAACAATCTCTTTCTCAAACAGATTTGTCACTTTTTGTATTTCCCTAATTAAAATTCCAGCTGCTCGTGTCTCCTTACGCGCTCTTTGCACATGTCTGAGCACAGCTGCTGTCGTGTTGAGGCTGTGCCACGGCTCTGTCGGAGCCCAGGGATGCTCGTGCAGCCTCAGGAATGGAACCCTGTGCAGGCAAACTTGAAAGAGGCTGGGCAGTGTCTGGAGCAGCAGTAAGGAATCTGGGATCGGGAACTCACCACACTGTTACTGACCGGTCTTGCTTTCCCAAGAGGACAAACCAGGGCCTTGTTTGCCAGGTTTGTATTTGAAAAAAGACTTTGCTTTAATTAAGAGACAACCTAAGTAGCATTGTTCTGTTCTCCATTCTGGGTTGTTTTTCAAAAAACAAGAACAGTTTACAAAATTTAAAAATCTCCTAAAATAGAAATTTTATCTAGATAAGTCCCTCTGTGATTCCATTCCTAGTATAAACCAAATTTATTTACTTCTGTAGTTGAAATTGCATTACTAAAGAAGAACGTAAAGTTTATTTTTGTTTTATTTTGTTTGTTATTGTTTTTTTTATTATTGTTTGATGTTCTTTGTCTAGTTTTGAATGAAAGTTGGGATTATGTGACCATCTTGTGGCTGTAACTCTTGTCAGTTCATTTAAATTAATATTTTAATTTCTTGTTTATTATCAAAGTTAACAAACCAAAGTTTATTGCTTTGTTAGGAGTAACACCCAAATTTGTGATGCTGGGAAGGGAAAGCTGCAGCTCATCTGGAACAGTTGGCATAGGAGAAACACATGGGGAGCAACCACAGACAGGCAGGTTCAGCACTCTGGTGGTCTGTCTGTGTGTCTGTCTGTGTATCTCATGATTTTCAAGCTGTTTTTCATATCCTGATGCAAGTGAAAAGTCAGCTTTTTTTTTTTTGAAAAGTGCAGATCTTGGAAACCTCAGCCGTTCCCAGGCCAAGGGTGAGCAATACAAACCTTGCACAAGCAGGTGACGTGGAGATGGGTGTATTGGAAAGAAAACATCAAAGGAATCATGCAGAGATTTGGGGCGGGTGATCCATGGGGACAGGGAGTGGGAGGCTTGTACAAAGCCAGCTTGTTCTTCGCCCAGAGCCAGTGGACTTCAGTTCACGGAGAAAGTAGCTGGAAAAATTACACAGAAAGATTTGACCTTCCAAAAGGCCTCTAAGACACAATTACCTGATGTTCACTGAAGTGGTTCACATGGTTCCCACTCTAAATGATTTTCTAGGTTCACCCATGTGTGAAAAGGGGTCTGATTATATGGAGGAGGGCAATGGAGGAAAGAAACTTCAGGAAGGAGAGAATTATGCCAGGGAATTTTACTGGTTGTGTTTGCTTCAAGGGAAGGAAAGGGCAAATAGATCCCACCAACTCAAAGTAGCTGAGTTTCTTTTGACTTTGAATTTCAAAAGAAAGAAACATAAGAGAGCTCTGAAGAGTTGACAGAATTTAACAGAAGCTGTTCCATGGAGTTAGGTAGGAAATGTAGGATCCAACATAGTTTGCTTTCTTAGACAGGTGACAAATTCTTTTTTCCCCCCTGTAGAACAAAATTGTAACAAACCCCGTTTCTCCCAGTGCCTTTTCTCTCGTTCTGCCCTGTGTTGCCAGGCACAGGACATCCCTTGCCCAGGCAGCCAGCAGTGCTCACGCCGGGGGCCAGTGCTCACTCCCTGCTGCGGAGTTTTATCTCAGCCTTGTACCAAAGCAAGTGAGTTGTCTGGGGCTGCATTTTTTAGTGGGCTTTAGGCAAAATATTTTTCTAATGAAATTAATTTCACAGTTGGCACAAAAGTGCCTCTATTGTGCAGTTTTCCAGTGGCAGGTGTGCCCAGGTGCACACAGCTGTCTGGCTTCAGTAGTAAATTTCTGTGTTCATCTTGGTCTACACCAGTGCCCAGAGCTCTGCTAAGCTGCCAGCAGCTTGCTGGGGCCATGGATGGGCACCTGAGCTCCCTGCAGAGACTGCGCCGACGTCCCTTGCCTCCCTGCTGCTTGTTGCCGGCTGATCCCAAAGGAGCTGGCGCGAGGGCACCGGGAGTTTGGCCGCACAGAATTGCACTGCCCACAGGCTGCATGCTGAGGAACCAAACCATGGCAGAGAGACTGGAAGATGTGAGAGTTTTCTCCCAGAGCTCATGTTTAACTCTCCGTGGCCCTGTTTGGGAATGGACTGTAGTCGGGATATGCCTTTAGCTTTAACTTGCACTTCATCAGTCTGGGAGGAAGAATGGAAGAAATGTTCTGAGAGCAAATTCCATGTATGTCTTCTGCCGCCTGCTAATGGTGTGCATGCCAGGAGCTGATGGCAAAGATAATATCATTGCTGTGGAGAAAATTGCACTGTGCTGGAAATGAGACGCGTGTTCCAGATGACCTGATAGCTCAGCACCCGCTGGGGCTGGGCCTAGAGCCGGGCTCTGCTGACACTCTCACAGGCACATTCAGTGTGATGGAATCCCAGAAATTAAATTATTTAGGGTGGGCAGAAGGACAAAAGCTGAAGAACTTCCATTCACACCCATCCCTGAATCAGGCTTTACTACATCTGCCTCCAGCCTAATAACTATGGGCAAGGACAAGGGAGGCTGACGGGTGGGAACAGCTGTCAAAGTGCCTGGTAAAGCTCCTGGTCTGAAAACTGACATAATGGCACAGTAGATGTGGTGGCAGCCCTTTGAAAGTAAACATCCATTTACAGCAGGATGATACAAATCTTTGGGGCATTCAGCAGCAAGGCCCCTGTGGCTTTTCACCCTTATGTTGCCCAGAGTTATTGCTCAATGAGGGAGTTCATGGAGTTTTGTGTGAACCGAGAGGTAACTGTGAGCAGCTATTTAAATAGCCCTAATTATGTTTAGAGAAGGCCAGTCCCTGAAAGCAGCTAGGATCTGTGAATGAACATATTGCCACAGGTGACCACCTGATCTATGCATATGGACCTAAAAAAAGCCACTTTTCTAAGTTTAAATACCTCAGTAAAGCTGAGCAGACACCCGACGCCAGCACAGCCACACCAGGCCTGTGCACGCTGCCCAAAGCAGCATCGCAGGGGGCTCTGGGGGGAGCGTGGCTCAGGCACCGTGGCACCGGGGTGACCACAGCACAGTCAGCCAGCCCATGGTGTGCTCCTGGGGGACCAGGGCCTTTAAAAATACAGCCTTTAAATACCCCATGGACAGAGAAAGGTGAAGGGACTGGGCCCCCTGAACGGGGGTTGGAGAAACCCAGAGGCTTACCTTGCTTAATCCTTTGGCAAACACGCTCAGTGTCTGCTGAGTCCAGTGGCCGATCCAGCCTGTGCCAGCACCGCCCTGCGCAGCTGGGGATGGGGGGCACCCACTCCCCACCCGGAGCTCCCAGGGCACAGTGGGCTTCCAGCTCGGCTGCAGCCCTGTGCAGTCAGAATTTCTGAAGGAGACAGTCCATGGCAGAGAGGACAAACGTGAAGTTGTTGAACATATTTAGCCCTTCAGCACGAGGGTTGAAGAGTTCACAGTGACAGCTGAGATAAGGCCAGGCCTGGTGATGGCCCCCAAGCCCTCCCTGCTCCTCCGGCCTCCTCCTCTTCCTGCAGTGACTGCCCAGCTGCCTCACCCCACCATTAACCATGTCTGGCTTCAGCATGACTTAGCTGCACAGGATTATTATATCTTATGACATGGAAATGGGTCAGAAATAAACTCGGTGCCTTTCTGTATTAACCTGGTGGTTCTCTGAACAGCAAGAAAAAAGTTCTTAATATATATAGTGGTCAATCATGTTTCTTTCTTTGTTCTCTTTTGATCACTGATTGCTTTCAGCACTTCTCGTTCCTGGCCACAGGAGGGGTGAGTACTCAGGGCACCTGGTCCTGCTGGTAGTGCAGGAGATGCTGATGGGGAGGTACCACCTCCACTGCAGCTCCTCTGGGCAGGTGAGGGGCTCCTGGCACTGCCCTGTTCAGGACAGGCTCACCTGTGCACAGCTCCCACCCATTCTGGGTGGCACCAGCTGCCATCACCCTGGCTCTCTAGAACCCCCTGCCAGCTCCTGCAGGGTGTCTCCATGGCAAAGGTCCTCCTAACCCACCCCAGTGTTTCTCTCCATTGCTCCCTCAGTATCATGGTGGTGGTGTCTGGATTTTGTCTCACTCTGGGAGCAATAGAGTGATGTGGAACATATCTGGGTGGCACCTTTAGGAACTGTCACAGCACACTAATGTTAGGGGTATTTTCCAAGGCAAACCTTTTGGTAGAAATTTTTAAAAGAGATTTTAAAGATTTCACAGAATTGTTGTAGGGGGATTATAGAATTACAGTTAGGATAACTTAAAAAGAAATACAGATGGAAGCGAAGAACATTATAGCCATTCAAATAATAACAGGGTTGCAATGAGAAT